TTTAAAAATTGACGTTTTCGTTGCCGTCGTCGTCGTCGATGCTAAAGCTCCCAATTGTGTCAGTGTGTGCATGTCCCTTTACCTTTGCATCATCGGAACCGCGTCATCTACTGGAATCTTTTTCACCACAACTGTAATTAAGTTTTTATTATTATAAGAGCACATTATTGGGGACTATTAAACGTTTGGTAAATTATAAGCAAGTGCTCTGCTTTCTCTTACCCGAACAGCTTCTGTACTGACAAGGAAGAAGGTTGTAGAGAATTCTTGAACTGAGAGAGCAGATGAGGATATTATTATTTGTGATTTTTAAATAGTCGACGATCCAAAAAGAAGTGACCTGTTCTGGTTGCTTTAAAATAAATGAGTCATTTCCTTTCTTGTATCTTTGCTGACAAAATTAAAGCTTCATGGTTTGCTAGGCCTCCAAATTACGTTACACAGCTGCTACTATACCGTGGACATTGGCACAGAACGGTTGACAACGCATTATCAAGGGCCAATAAATCCTCTCAAATTGGCTTCATTTTCATTGAAATTCAACTTTGTGTTGAGAACAACTCAGTGGACACTATATAAAATTTCTAGGATTATTTTCCCTTGAATGGCGCTGCAGTCTTTCAGCTAATTTAAAACTGAACGAATTTTTTTCCAGCATACCATCATCAAAGGCCTTTATCTTCAGTCGTTCTATCCTGTGTAAATATGATCGAAATTAGAAAATTTAGTTCTTTAATTCATCATCAATCTAATCTAGAGGAAGACCATGTTAGTTAATCCTCTTTTCTCTCTCTTCCCCCTTATCAATCAGCTCTAAGCCAGTCAAAGGAAACTTCAACTTTAGTCGCTTAGCCTTGGCTTATATCTAGAGCATTCAATGACTTTTGATACAAACTTAGTGTTAAACACAATCATTACTTACATAAGCCGTAATTCTTTTGTTTCGAATATCTTTTACTTTCATATGTTTTTTATCAGATGAAAAAATTGACAATATTATAGTGCAATCGATTTACAGTCATAAAGCTGTAAATTACATCTCTTAATCTTGACAATTCCCCCAGCACAGTGACTTGAAGCCTATCATAAAATGCCGGGCCCTCTTGCAGCAACGAGTTTCTTAAATGACATAATTACCGGGAATAAAATAGGTTCCCTATTGGATAATATTTTCTTGAAGTCTTACTTACATTTCATCCACTTCGTTTGGCTTCATGTAAAGAAACTTGTATTTTTGGGAAAAGTGAATAACCTGAAAGACATGCAACAAAATTTAACTCAGGCTGATAGCAAAGCAAGTTTCTAACATTTTGAAATGAGGGTAAATATAATTGTAAAAAAGATAGCTTGCGAATATTAAACAACTAACGTTTTCTGGTGAAGGAAGCCGCTAGTTTTTATTTTTATTTTTTAAAAGGTTTATGACTCTCTGACGCCTAAAGAGTAGAAAGCCGTTCTGAGAATTTCAGCAAAATCGATAAGATCCTATCCATATGTGAACATAGGAAGGATCACAGTTCACAATTTCACGAGGGAATACCAGGCCTTGATCTGCTAAAAAAAGGAATTCTGTGACAGTCTTCAATATCTTCAAGAAAAAACGTAGAATTAATCTATAAACCTCTTCTTTTGTTATCTCTTTGTCTTTATTTTTGTCCCAACTTGCAAATATTCCAGCGGCTCCAACCGCGTGACCTACAGTTAAAAAGGTATGGTTGGTGAGAGTTACTAATTAACTTCTGTTCAGGTGGCAGGGGCGGATCTAGGGGGAGGGTGCAGGGGGTGCGCACCCCCCTCCCCCCCGAGATGACCTGCGGTTTTCTAATATAACTGGTATTCTGCAAAAAAAAAAAAAAAAAACTACGTGGTTTATTGGTGTTGAAGTAGAGCAAGAGACGAGTGCACCCCCCCCTAAAAAAAATTCTGGATCCGCCCCTGGGTGGATTAACACCGTCGCATAATGTTTACATGTGTACACACGTAAATAATTAATACGTGCTTTTAGATAAAATACAGGCGATTTACGAAAGGTCGCGCGTAAAAATAAAAGTTGAACCTCGCTCGACTTTCACGTTTACACCCGTTCACTTTTCATACATTTTATCTACGTACGTAAATTTTACGCGCGTTAACTCACGTAAAAATTTCACGACAGTGGAGACCCCGCCTAAAGTCGTTGTTACACTATTTGTGATTGGATATTTTAACTGAGATTTGACATTTTAACTCTTTGACTACGAGTACCGAACGGCCTACGGCGGGGAGAGCTATGAGAGCCTGCAGTATCGTATTTACTCGAAAATACGTCGTCCTCGACGAAACGACACAAATGGAAGGATTTTAGAAAAAAAATCGGTTCAACTTCGTAATCTTCACTGGGCCATTCAGAAAATTACGGTTCTATAAATAAAAGCAGATGGTTCGGTATTGCCTTGAAAGAGTGTTTTTGAGAACAAGGGAACTGGTTTTTTCAGTTTAGGGATTCTACAGGAGCTAGAATTCCGTGAAGATCCGCCGAAATAGTGAGATTTGAAATATCATGAAGAGTTTTGACGGGTAATCTCAATCTGCATTTTTGACTGTTGACGATAAAATATAACCTTTTCTGACGGTTGACGGTTAGTATTAAGGACCTTACTATCCGACAACGGCGACACCACTAAAAAAGTCTTGGAAAAATAGACTTCGCTTTCTTTGAAACTTTTTTGCCCTTAAACCAAGTCACCCAGTCACTTGAGTGAAGTTAGAACTGAAGAGAGGGGTCCACCGCGTCCGAATTCAAAGTGAAATTTACCGCCTTGCTGTTCCCGTTCTCAAGTCAACTCAAAATTTGGTCATTTCACGTTCAAGGCATTTGAGCGTGCTGATGGTTAACCCCATTGAGACCCTCTTTCAATATAGTACCTTTAACTTCCTTCCTGTGTTTTTCTTGATATTCATCAGTATGCATTATGCTGCCTTCGAGGCCAAACATTTCAGCTAGCTCGATAATGTGATCACATTCTTCATCACTTAGAAAATTGGGCAGCTCTGAAAACATGAAGTAAAGGGTGATATCTAACGGTGAGGCTGATCTTAAAAGAAAAATAACAACAAAACATATACAACAATAGCAAAGCGATGAAGTAAGTTTTTTTATAGAATGACATGCTGGTTTTGTTGCACAGGTAATTAGAAGAATTCACATCTTTATTGCCGCCTCGTATTGGCCAGAATGTTGTGAAAGGTTTTGTAGACATTTGGCCAAATTTTAGCTGGCCTTTATATCTTCATGACCTTATTGCGCCCTGATCTTAGACATCCTGGGGCTCGGGAGGAATTAGTTAGCTTCTGAGTGCACATGGTGAAGAGTGATCACGACACAGGTAGCTGTTGGACACTACACAACTGGCAAACTTAAGATAACTACGCTTTCCACTGAATACCCCCATGCTCCATACATAAGCTGTGCAGCACAAGTTTTTTTCTTTTTTTTTAAAACAAGGCCGGCGATGTAGAGGCTTATTAAGTGAAATGAAGAATTAAAGCTTATCAGTAGAAATGAATATTGATTTCTATTTTTGAAATCAAAAAAGTCTCACCAAAAATTGCTGGTTTAGATGCCAATGTTATCATCTTGAATTTTTCTCCAGGTTCTAGCTCTAACACTCTCACGTGACCTTTCTGACAAACAAATCAAAAGCCGTCATTACGCATCCACGGCATCCAGTGTAGCTTCAGAGCCGCGATTTCGTTGGCCTGTTGCACAATCAGGGTGATCTGGAAGGGTGGATGTTTAGATGGGGGGGATGTGGATGTTTAGATGTCATTTTTCACGACAATGCCGTTCCCGAACTTTTGTCACCTCTATCCCGAATGCCGTTTCCTTTTTCAATGGCCGTTTTCACACTAGAGACGGATGACACTAGAGACGGAAAAACAGATGGATAAAGTCAGGCGGATTGTCCATCCAAACTTAAGACCGTTTCATTTTCAAATTAAGGCGTATTATCTGTCTGATGCGAATTATCCAACGGATAACCCGTCTCAAGTGTGAATACGGCTAATACCGCTTCCCGAGTAGCGGTCAAATCCCGTATCTGTCAAGAAATTTTGCGGTTTTCCCATATCCTGCACTATATTTCGGTCAAACCCTGGATCCTGGCAAGACCCTTCCAGACCCGCCAATGAAACATGTAATACGACAGTCCCTAACAGAGTTACCACCGAGTTAAAATGTTTTGCATCGTCACTGCGGGAGACAGAGTGAATGAGAGTGAAATCTGGCAGTACGAGATTAGTAGCCTGCAGTTAAGACTGTGGTTGAAAGGATGAAAATGAAGGTTCGTAAAGCAATATATTCCTTTACCACGTACCCAATTGATAAACCTTCACTCGCATAGTCAGCTGTGTAGGCATTTCAAAAGATCAGAGTCTTGTGAATTGTTGTGAATAAAAGCCTATGGAAAAATTATTTAAATAACGTTCCTCAGTTGTACTTTCACCGGTCTTTTTCATATTTTATTTTCAGAATTACTTTTAAATTAAATGAAAGTTTGTCGCACTTTTAGGAGTGGAAGAAGACAGTGACAGCCATGGTTAGTTTTGTTCACGCAGCCATTTCGCTTTTGCACCAAGCTAAGTGTGTGCTATGCTGTGTCACCCGCGAGGAACCCGAATCGCGGGTCGGTTGGATCTCCTTGGGGACACACTTTCCCAGGAGCTGTTGAGCTAAGTTTTACTCACGATCATATGGGTAAAATAATGAGATAAATAAAATCTAATGTTTGATCTTGGTACAAAGGAAATAAAATACCTTGACTGGTTCCCATCTGAAAAGTCTTTGTTGGTCATCTTTGACTACACATGGTCCTTGATCTGCTTTTCTTGAGCAAACGCCATTTTCACAGGACATATTGACTTTAACACTAACATAATTACCACGGACTAGTCCAAAAAACGCAAATGAAATTAGCATAGAACCTAAAAGAAGTGTCATACTAAAAGAAGTATGAATTGGGCTTAAGTCCAGTGAACATTGGCGATGTAATTTTCCTTTTCAGCGGTTCTATGTTGTGAACGCGATTCTTATTAATTATTTATTTGCTGGTTCGATGCACGTGCAAATCATCAAAACGTAGATTCTCCTAATTGTTTTTCATGGTGCACCTGATGGTGCCTGCGAGAATTAAAGGAACTGTCAAGTTAACTGATTAAATTGCCTGTTCTCATCACCTGTCCACCTGATAGGGCATACTGTATGTTGTAAAGAGAAAGTGAAGGCTGTTGAAAACAAAAAACGCGTGCAGAAAAGGAAAACAACATAGCTCTTTTTAGAAACCTTGCAATTATATTTAACCGTTGTTGTCTGTAATTTTAATTGTTTCTCAAATAGAAATTATAGGATAATTGTCTCGAAAGCAATTCTTGATATATTGAAAGGTTGGTTAATAGTTTCACTGAGTTCCGACGTTGTTTGGCCCACCAGCTAGTACCAGTTTGAAGATGATAATTAAATATTTCCTTGATTCAAGGTCTTTAGTGATAAAATTATGCTTTTCTTTCCATAAAAAGAAAAAAAAACTTTTTGTATTTAATATCTGTATAACGATTCTGTCTCGGACGCAAATACAACGAAATACCTTCTTGAGAATAAAATAATTCTACTGAACATCCTCAACCAAAATTTATCCATCTCAACAATTCAGTTTGTATTTTTATTACTATTTACTTTTTGATTTTTGTTCTTGGTAAGAAACTTTAAAAGATCCTTAGATAAATTTAAATGATATTAATCGACTTTAATCGTTTCCATAAAGTATAGCAAAAGGTCTCCTTCGGTTTGATCTGGTATCCCCTGTATTTAGACATTTTCCCAAAGAACACATTTTTTGAATTAAATCATGATTTAGGCCTTAAAACTGGAGCAATGGTTTAAACCTCTGAAAACACATTTTAATGTAGTTCAATTTTAAATATATCAGCGCTTTATATCTCAGTATAACTAAAGTATGTAGGAACTCCGTGCGCTCCATACAATGCATGGAAGCTAGATAAATATATTTTAATATTCTCGAAGAGCCGTACATGTTTCAGGATCCATTTAAACATATTAGCAACGTAATGATCAAACAATATGAATATGACACCGTTTTTTAAAAATTCCTGCTGAGCCTTTGCAATCAAACAAGGTATGACCGTATTAGTGCCATTGAATTTAAATTAGTTGAAAACGAGACAAACAAATATTCAAGGACGAAATCATGGAGATCAAGAGGGATTGATGAACATAAAAATATACTGGGCGGGTAAAACATGCTTTCGCAAATATCTTCGTTAGAATTTATATCGCTGCAGACTAGATGTTAGAGACAATTTCAAGGTAGGCCACTGAGCTTCCGCGCGCGGATGCAACGATTTCCGCCCCCTTTTGACCACTCGGCTTTGAAGTTCTGGATTCGTTTTTTCTAGACAAGGATTATAATTTTCATGTCACTGATCCGAAAGATTACAAAGCTCCTCAGCTTGAAATCAACATACTTTTTATTCTATACACAAGATTCAGCTCTATACTCAGAATAAGGCCGGGCGTAATCACGAAACTACGATCAAAATTTAAGAATTTGGAGTAAGTTTGCAATCCCCTGAGTCTTCACACACAAATACAGGCACGTTGTTTGTTATTTTATCATTTAAGTGATTTTTTTAATAAATACTACAAGGACGGTCCGTTTATTCGATCAGCAGATCTGTTGAACTGGCCTTTAAATTCCCGTTATGAAAAAGAACGAGGTGTAACACTTTTTTAATGGTAGTAAACGAAACACGACCTAACTTCTAATGGTTTTAAATTGTACTTCAGTGTTCTTGTTTGTGTTGTCACAGCTTCTCTAACCAGGATGACAACTATAAAACGGATGGATTAAATTGAGTTTTTTTTAATTTCCTGAATGAATTTGCAGGAGTTCACAAGAGGGTACGGTCTCCTACTGAAACATATATTCTTAAAGTTAAATATGCTGTTAAAATGTACCGGGCTTAATATGCAATAAAAACATATTTGAACTTAGTGCATCTTCTAAAAATATATCCGTGGCACACTAGATCTCCTCATAGTCATGTAAAGTAAATACGTATCCGGATACGTATAGCTCTAAATATTATTAATTGCGTTAGGTCTCCTTTTTCTAAAGGTGATCTTTTCTTTTCGTCACTGATGAACATTTCTCTGCTTGGCGCCTTAGTTATGGTTGATCTTTCCAAAGAAGAAAGCATTTAATTAAGGACACATTATTCAGAGGTCGTTAGTTTCCCCTGAATTCACCTGCGACTCGCAGCATGCACGACGGCATATCTTTTAAATTTCCGTACGCCGTAAACAGAAAAGAGAATTTGCATCATTTGCAGCCAGAAAGACAGAGCGGGTTCCCCATTCAAGCTTTTTGAGTCAACATTTCGCATTGGCTGCGTATACAAATCGCCGGGGATAAAGAAATATTGCTAGAAGCCTAAATGACGACCCAAAACAATTCAAGTGATCTTTCGAACGACACCTCATTGCCAGTCGAAAGAATACTTGAAACCATTCTGCTCTTTGGAATCGCTGTATTTGCCATCGTGAGCAACGGTCTTCTTCTATACGTCATTTTCTCAAAGCGAAATCTCCACAACCTCCGCAATGCGTTCGTCGCTAACCTCGCCGCAGCAGATCTACTCTTAGCCGCAACAGATATAATTTATCAAGCGATCGAAAGAATTGTGATAGATTTCAGACCACCTCATGCATCTCTATGCTATATCATTTTGTTGACTGGAGTATTATTCGGCGCCGCTTCAGTCTTCAACCTCACAGCAATGAATATGGTACGTTACATCTCCATTTGTTATCCACTTCATTTCAGTCATTATCTCACGCTTCGCCGTTCCGCAGCTATTGTCGTGTTTGTCTGGATAGCGGCGTTTTGTCTCGCGTTCCCGCCTCTTATTTGGCGCCCAGATGGAGTCGTCTGTTCCACAACCAAACCCTCTGGTGAGCACTTTGTGAGCGAAGTTATTTACATGAGTTCAGAGTGGCTATTTTGGTTCTTCATTCCTGCGATCCTTATTTTCTTTTCGTATTACCGAATTTACGCTATCGCTAGAAGTCATGCGAGAAAAATTTCTGCTTTGGAAGTTGTACAGAGCAGAGAAATGCCCGCAGGATCAGACAGAGCGAACTCGCTAAGGGAGAAAAAGGCTGGCCGAATGGTAACAATTCTTTTTGGATTTTGGGTTCTTTGTTGGATGCCGTTTTTTATCGTGCTGACCATAAGTAAATTTAAGTCCCACGTTCCTGCTATTTTAATGCGTTTGTTCCTTTGTCTAATGTTTGCCAACTCCGCCATAAATCCTATTGTTTTGACCTGGTATAACCGTGAACTGAAAGAAGCCATAAAAAAGGTATTGTGCTATAATAAGCAGCGCCATTCGATAGCTAACGGCGATGCAAGATCTATGGCTAAGGGGAAAACAACTTCAGTTTGAACGTACTACTTTGCAGATTGAATTATAAAGTGCATTCTAGTCGTTGCCATTTAACTGTCGATTGATCAATTGGCGTTGACTTCCTTGATCTTAGAAGAGCTACAGGCATCTGCATCTTGACCATTTCTTGTTTTTGGCTTTACCAATGCGATTTCAATCCAATACGCAGGGGCACCCAACGGCAATTTTCGGGAAAATATCTGTTCGGAAGACGATTTGAGATCTAGAATTTTCGGAGCATTTGTTTCTAAAATTTCTTGCTTGCCTGCCTCTCCTAGGATTTTCGAACATCTACAAAATGGTATAATTACTCATTTTTAACGGATTTTTGCCCTAAAAAAGGCCACCTAGAATTTTCGGGAGCCTTTTCCTGGCTGAAATTTTCGAGAAAGTAAGTTTTTATCCCTATAATTTTCGGATCACTAGATTTTCAGCTAGGAAATCCGAACAGATGAAAAGTTTTTAGGGGATAAAAATATGCCTATATCTACCGTTTGAATACTAAAATACGTCCAACAATGCTATGTTAAGTGGTTTTGAACTATATCCTCGTTGGGTGCCCCTGAATACGTTAAAGTCCCACCAAACCGCCATCCTTAAACCCATTTATATTTCATTTTTACCTCCTCGGTGTTTCGCTGTCATTTAAAAACTAATAGTAAAGTTATATAAAAAACTAATTTAAAAGTTACCATCAGTTTCGTGATAATTAACTAATGAGTCAAAATGTGGGAAAGAGCCCCTTTAACTAATGAATTGGGCCAAGTTTTTCTCAGTTTTCGCTGGTCCTTTTTGCGAACAGAATAACAATTTTTTTTCCATACATTCCGATTTCCTTCCACTGAACTTACAAGAAACTAAATCCTCTCCTTATTAGCTAAAGCTTCAAAAAACTTCTTTTAGTTGCGTTTTTTATATATATATTATACTAATTACAAGAAGATCTTAAATGACAATTTAATGAGAGAAATTAATAGTTACTACCTTTTAAACCCCCATACCGGGAATAACAAAAACAGCAAAACAAAAAAGAAATTACTTTGAAGGAGACCCTTGATTGTTACTGTAGTTTTTGTTCTTAGCAGGATGTTAACTTCTCGCCTGGCCCAAAATGAAGCCTCAGCATTGACCAATTAATGATTAACTGCTTGTTAACGAATCCACTGGGAGGCTCTACTTCCTCAATTAAACGCAAACGGCGAGGAAATCTTCCATTGTTTACATATAATAGTAAAGTCATAGTAGAGGAGTTTCCTGAAATTTTTTGCGATGCATACGAAGGCCACCTTTCCTGTTTGGTACCCTGATTGATCCTATTTACCTATCTAATTTCATCACAATTCATCTTTAATTATAGTTTTTATTTCATTGTCACGCTTTTAATGAATATACATATATTTTTTTTAATCTTCTTGGCCGACCCAGCGGGAAGTAAGGAAGGGGGGCCGAGGAGTGGTGCCGCAAAGATAAATTTTCCCTGATATATTATTAATAGTTCTTATAGTCTAGATCACCCGTTTTAAAATGTGTTGAAGGGACTGAGACGATTACTGATTTGTCTCTGATTTGACAATCTTAAAATCTATACTTTTAGAATATATTCTTGCTCTTATTCCTCGAAGAACATGCAAGCAGGTGATTGACAAAGACTGTGCGTCTCAGACTGAGGCCTCTTCTTGGATCGCGGAAACGATTATTCAGGTGCTCCTCTAAGTATACTGTCCAGCAGTCAGTCCTACGTCGACAAAACTGTCATGCGCCGAATACAACGTACCACGTAACTAAGTGTTCTTACCAAATTAAAGTCATAACTAGCTAAAAACTATCCCTACCGTGCCTATTATTGAACTGATCTGACTCGGATAGTCCTGATAAATATTAGAATTCTCTTTACGACATAGCCTGAACTCGCTAGCCTGCCAGTTCTGACAACTGTGGGTAAATCAAGCGCCATGAGTTAAATTGATATTTAAGTTGCCTTCCTGCAAAATATCATTACATAACGATATGATTTTGTAATAGAGCCGAACAGAAAATTGTAAGAATTAATTATTATAGTTAATGCAATAAACCAAAACTTGGTTTTCCCGCCTTGCTTTCTTCCTCTTGTATTCAAAATTGTCAGATCATGGGTTCTAGATCTTAACCGAAGCCCTGTGTTGAAAGAGAAAAAAAGATTAGCTTGACTTTCACGACAGCAAGGCGAAGTGTCTCTAGACAGGATTCTCTGAGCCTTCCAAGGTTAAGACACTGACTTTAAATTTTGTTTCGACTGTTTTATGAATAGACTGTTGAAAGAAGGGATTAGAAAAAATTAAGATATTCAATAGTTTCGGGTAGCCACACCGGCCGCTGAATCCCACGTTCACGAAATGCAGGGTGTGTGTAAGGGGGAGTAAGTTTATATCAGGGCAGGCTGGTTATATCGTCATCAAAACTAATGAGTGATAGATCACAACGCACTGCAAAAAAATTGAATTGAGGAGAGAAGTTTGTGGTAGTATGCTGTTACGGTTCCGCAAAGCCAAAACGTGTGCTAGTGCAAAAAAAAAAACAAAACAAAAAGAAACGGACTATAGAAGAGTTATTAGTAATCAGTGAGGAATGATTTTTTTTCTGTTTCCTTTGACATGTATTGTCTTGAAAATAATCAATCTAGGGTAGCCTTTGTTTTAGGCTATGTTCATACCACTTAACAATTATTATTCCTCGAGCTCGAATAGGCTATTGACTCAGAGGCCATGAGGGCGAGAGGAATAATTGTTTTAGTAAAATCCAACTAGTTGGTCAAAAATATCGAGAATAAAAAAAGTTAGCTCGTTAAAGGCTAGACTGTCAGGCTGCCGCCAAAAGCCCGCGCTTTTCGCCACTAGTGGGCCATAACATATAGCCTAGTAGTAGCTCAACCAATCAGAACGCAGCATTCATAATAGACCACTAGTTGGATTTTACTAATACAGGACAGCTTATTGTGGCGCCACGAAAGGCTATCGGCATAGTATGAACAGCAACACGGGCCCGGGGCGGCACCAGTCGTTCACTGACACATCAAACACACCGTGCCGACGCGGTTGGCCGAGAGGGTTTCGTGCACTAATTTCTAGTCCTTACTCCTGAGGAAAGCCATATTCGTTTTACTTTTTGCTAGAGGAACACTCCCTTTAACTAATAAGCGGGCCCGGTTAGCTCAGTAGGTAGAGCATCAGACTTTTAATCTGAGGGTCATGGGTTCAAGTCCCATATTGGGCGCAAATGTTTTCTTTTTCCGATCTTTAATAATTCTTTCTCTTTTTTTGAGTTTAAATATGCCTGATTGATAAAATTTTCGTACAAATGGATGTCTTCGTTTGTCAACAATTGTTACATGTAATGCCCATTTACCTTTAAGTTACACACACAATCCGCAAATAATGAATTAGTTTCGAACTAAAGAAATGCTTTTTTTGTATAGAGGTCTTTAAACATGTGATGTCGCTTGCCAGAATGAGCCCGGTTAGCTCAGTCGGTAGAGCATCAGACTTTTAATCTGAGGGTCATGGGTTCAAGTCCCATATCGGGCGAACTTACTTTTCTTATTTCTTTTTCTTCTTGGTTATTTTGTGCTTTCGTTTCTGTTTATAAGCACTTGGTATTTTTTTTTCGGTCGTGTGGCTTTTTAGTGTTTGATTTGTAGCCGGCGGGGACATAACGAGCCGCACTATCTTGGGAACCAAAAAAAAACCTCAGTATCCAGCTGAGATAGCTGAGTAAAAGTCAGCTATCTCAGCTGGATACCCAGTAGCTTGCAACATTCCCTATTCCATTAATCTCTGATCGTATTTCGCATTTAATATGATAGAGGCGTCAATTTTCACGCAATCATGTCATCATCCTAGGGCGCGAATTATAATTAATTAAAAGCGCGGCTTTTGTTTCGGAAAAATAATTCAGTGCCGTCTAAAAAGAAACATATTTAAGTCTGCGGTCGACCTAGTTGCAAACTAGAGCGAAGAGACTGGAGAGAGTTTGGGGTATCGTCCGGTTCATCTCTGTCCCAAAACTCGTGAGTATTGGCTCCATTACATTCAGGTACTATCGCCTTTTTTTATAGTTGTTAACAGAATCGGTGAATACTAATCTCAGTACTTTAGGAATAAATTGTGGTGACTCTTAAATTCCATATCCGGTCCCAATAAAAATTTTCAACTTAATAATGCTCACACTTTAAAAAAAAAGTGTAAAATAAAGACTATTTAAGATAGGGTCACTAACTGACATACAAATCACGTACCGTTGGGGCCCATATAAAGGAATCCAAGACAGTCCGGATTCCAGAATGACTGGAATTGTTTGTCAGGGGAACTTGGATTCCGGATTCCAATCCTTAGTGGGATTCTGGATTTCCTGTACTGTATTCTGGATTCCAAAACCCCCCAGATACCGGATTCCACAAGCCAAACTTTCTTGAATTTCGGAATCCGGATTCCCTTTTAATTTCCATATTTCAGTTAATTTGCAAGATAAAAGAAAACCATGACAAGTGGAACAGGTACAACGAGCAAATCATTTGCTTCCTGTCATGATGAATTAATTATTCATGCTATATAATGAGACTCTCAAGACCATCATTAAAATTGCCTTTGGCGAACAAAGTATCCTCTGAAAAGGATACAGCGAAATGAGAGGATCAGTGCCACTTATTTTAGCCTCGATCTTGGTGATAAGTTGCCGCTCACACTCCAATTCAAGCGCTGAATATTGCGAGAATGACACATGCGAATCAATGGACGGACCATGCTTCGTTCCACGCCAGAAAGGAATATTAACTCGTTTGGAGGGAGTCAGAGTAGGTTGTTTCGCTTTTTAAGGGGGAGGGGGATATAAATATAATTTCATGATCAAACGTGTGTCCAAATGGTGGATCAAATGAAATTGCTGTCATATACCATTTTGTCTGAGAAATTTTATTTTGAATCCAGTAAGTACATTGTTTAGTTTCTTTCTTGTTTATTGTTTTACACGTGAGGTAACAGCCGGTCAGATACCAACTGAGCCTTTTTATCTGTAGATATAAAACTTGTGTGGCCTCATAATTTGTGCCATATAATAATTTGGTTGGGTTTCCAAACAATGAGAGTAAAATCTAGAACAGATAATGAATATCTTTGAACTATCGTGAGTATCAATGCTACTTTGAATAGGGTAACCTAAGGCTGGTACCAGCTAAACAGGAAGGGCGCTGGCACTCATGAGCCTCACTGACAAGCAACCACTGGCTCACTTGGTTTGTAGACGGGACACTGGTGAACGATCAACATGTCCAACTTCCATTGTATAACAACGATGGACGAGCACCTAAACACCCTCGCATGTAATAGAACGTAACCAAGAACAATCCGGAACCCGTCAAATGGATAAACGGCAAACATCAAGTAGCTGCTCGTCCATCATTGTTATTCGGGGTTTCTCTTTGACAGGCGTTGTGGGTACTTCCGGTTTTTTTTCGGAGTGATCCAGGGTGTTGCGGTGCAGTCAGAGTCTTAGCCCTAATGCCAAACGCTCCTGACCTTCTTTAACTTCCAACTCATTTAGAGTTTCTTTTAGTTGACATCGTGAATTAAGTTAGAAAATGCTTGATTGGAATTAATAACTTTCCCTAGGAAAAAAAATTTTGACGAACTTCTTTAGGACCGTTGGTAACAAAGCCTTTTGGACGTACATGTCCAGCACTTCTTTTGGATCTATGCCGTTCCGCCGCCGTCAGTGTTAAGATCGCATTTTCAATCTTTGAAAAATTAAAGTACGTGAATAATCAACAGGCCGCTTTTCACTGTATTGTTAGGATGTATTCTTGATCATCTTGAACCAACTTAGGCTAGCCTTGTAATTCGTCAGTGTATAAGAAATGAGGGCAAACAGACGGATCATCTGTCCAGACGGAATCAGGTGCTCAGGTCGTCTTGAATCAGATTCTTCTCCGGAACGGATGCATCATCCATACTAATGGGCCTCAATGGGATGGTAGCTCCGACGGTTGAGGTTAACTTTTAAAGCTTTTGACGGTTTACGGTTATCAAGTGGAAATTTACTACAAGAGTTTTAGTAAAGATTAATTTCTATATAAATTTATATTAACTAGTGCGTTTTGGAGGCTGTCTTGGCCTTTCACTTATAAAATTTGGAAATAATTTCAGATATAATGGCACAAGGTAGAAGGAGTCGGTTTTTGAGAACTGACCTAGGAACTGGTTTTCTAGTCTCACGCTAGCGATTCAGTCTTCAGGAGCCAGAAGTCCATGAAAATCAGCAGAAATACTCAAAAAAAGCAAGATTTGAAATATTTTATTGAAACTTTTCTGCATTTTTGACGGTTGACGGTAAAAAAATTACCGTTTTTGACGGTTGACGGTTAAATTTTAGGCCGTTTGACAGCTGGCGGGTTAACCTCATTGAGACCCTTACACTAACATATACCCAACCAATGAGAATCTTGTAAATAGAATCAACCGAGGTATCGTCGACTATATGCAATATTCGCAATAAAATATCAATAGATATTTAGTGTTAATCTATGCCAGTAGCTTCGATATCTGAAAATGTTTTGCGCACAGCCATGTGATGTTCTTTTTCCTTTTGAGGTTGGTCACAGGCAGGAAGTGACACTAGGGGAGGATGGCAAATATGAAGTCATAACTCGAGCTATGAAGCCCTTGTTATTTGGTTGGTAAAAAATACCATATTTGCTTCAACCGCATTCACTCTACCACTAGACTTCTGCCCTGCCTACACATTAGGGACGGACCATCAGAAACGTTCTGGGGTCGGGGTAATTTTCAAGTCGTATGAATTTCTTTGGCGTCAACTTTTCCCTTGTATGAATTTTTAAGCCCATTGCATTAATATTTTAGGGGTCTTGACTTCGTGTGCATGATTTTTTGTTTCATTTAATTTTCCCTTGCGCGGATATGTTTTTTGCACTTCGCCCTCTCCTTAAATCTTCTAATGATCAGTCCATTATTGGTCTCTTGGGACCTTTTAGCATTCATACGCTTTTTACATTCTTATATACTTAAGAATGGGCCATTTATAGCTAAACCGTCACATGGTGTACAAAAACCACCTCGCTTGGACTCAAACAACGCTTGAGACCTTGAAAGAATTTTTAAGTTATGGAACTCTTTTGGTCTTCTTGCCCCACGTTGGCTGCTTCACTTGTGTCTTATTTTTTTCTTAGAGATTCCCAATTTCCTATCGGAGGACGAATGTGACTATATCATAACACTGGCCAGTGAGAACGAGCTGATGAATAGTGTTGCAAAAGGAGGGCTCACAGAGGCTGATAACTGGAAATTTGATCCATACAGTGAGTAATAGCACGGCTTCATGAATCCTATATTAAGAAATTAGAGAATGAAACAATGTACAGTCTGAGAAAACTACATTTCGCGACGCCACCACTTGTTTTCCCGCGAAATAGCGTCTCACAAACGAGCGCAGAAATCCTATACAGATGACGATCACTAACCAGATCTGGCTGTACTTCTGATTATTGGTGCCGCGCGGGAAATTTGTTTCAACCGATTCAGGAAGCACTACCTGGATCTCATCATCTGGGTGATGACGCCGCCGTCAGCCTTCATCTTCTTCTTTTACACCAAAGATCTCTCAGGATCTGTAGACCCACTCTGATGCTGTATTATTGTTAAGTCTCTCTTCTCAGCAAGGCTGATGGCCTGCGATGCCGTCAGTCATCAGTATGAAATTTCTGCAAACGTTGCTCAGACGTCATTTCGCGTGGAAACCAGTAGTGGCGTCTTGAAATGGCGGCTGTTTTCTCAGGGTGAACAGCTAGAAAACTGGTAGAAATCACAGTATAGCAAGACATGTTCGACCGGGAACCTGTTGTTCTCCCCACGGCAGAAACAAAATCAAAAAAACTTCGGTAGTACCACTTTTCCGGAAGAAACTCTCTTGAAATGAAAGAGAGAGAGAGGAGGGGTGTAGATGACAGTCCCAATTAAAGATTTGCCTGTAACTTTTACCAGGAAAGCCGAAATTGGAAAACTTCGTGGAACACGATTCAGTATGAACGAGGACCTCTCGGGTATAAACCAGTGCGGCAATACCACGTGAAACACTGCTATGCAACTTAGGCCTGGCCAAACCTCGACCTTTCATGAGACGAACGAAACTTACCGAGTTACTCATCAAAGGTTCGACCTCTGGCTCAGTTTAGTTCCATCCGTCCAACGTTTGACCCAGCAGACGATCTTAACTTAATTTAGGTCGACCAAATAAAATTGGAGTTTGGTTCGCCTCATTTTTGGTCTAGGCCCTAGTGAAGAGACACTAACTACAAAAGCAGCAGCTAAGGCCGAGGCCAAACGTCAAACCTTTTCTGAGACGTACCAAACTCTAACTTGGGTCGATCTAAATTAATTTAAGATCCTCTGTTGGGTCAGACGTCGAACTTAAGACGCGTTGAACCGGAATTAACTGAATCAGACCCGAGTCGGCCAGCGGGTATTCAATAATCAATTTTCTCCCGAACGAGACTAAATATACAAATTTTAAATTTATTGGTTTAGTTCCTCGCATGCGAAGATAGACGTTTGTCCCAGAGACGATCATCAGACGTTCTATCCGTATGCTTCAGACGGATAGTTAACAAATCGACCACAATTTTCCGTGGTCTACGCTCTTATAGACCATAGAAATGACGTCATAACTGTGTTCAAAACTCAAGTGGAACCACAAGCCGCAGGCGAGTGTTTTCACTGCAAAGTATTGAACATTTTGTGGCGTCATGGAGTTTAGACCATACAAAATTGTGGTCGATTTGTTTTTTACAATAACGTTTTTCTTTTTTTTTCGAAAAACCAAAAACAAAAAAAACTGGCACTGCGTGACATGTTACGTCATTTCCATGGCCTATACTCTCATAGACCATAGCTCTCGTCCAATCAGCGCTCGAGGATTCGCTCAGTTATTGTAAAAAAGGAGTTGAACGATCCAAACTCATTCAGACGAACTTAACTGAGTCAGACTTCTAACTTTACATGAACTTAACTCACTAAGTTTGGTTTGTCACATGAAAAGTTCGACGTTTAGCCTAGCCGAGACCAATTTGATTGTTCGTTGAAGTCAGGCTTTCCTTAGTGACTGACTTTTATTTATTTGAACGTTTTTGACTAGTAATTCTTATGAGCAACGCATTCTTTAAGATGAAGAACATTCAATCAATTAAATGTGCGTTTCAGTTCAAGGTAAAGCGAATGGACCCAGAGGACTGTATGAAAACTGGGACTTTGATCTAGACGGGAAAATTACTATAGAGGAGGTAAGGTTATAGCTTAGCAGCGGTCTTCATTCCAGGATAAAAATATGTAGTAAACAGCACAGTTGATCCTATATCATTTACTGAATTCATGGCTATGTACGGTTCTAAAATATATCAGTTTGACGAAGACAAAGTTTGTTTGCAGATAAAAAAGTTTGCAAAGAGATACAGATATCTTTACCTCACGGACGAGGAAGTGAAAAAGATGTAAGTTGTCGCCGTCCATCTACTGTAGTGTATACTGTAGAATGTTGTGTTATGGTTCTAAATGGGTTTTTTCGCAACCAATTGATTTGGATGATTATTTAAAACAAGGGAAATTAAAAATAATTTTTGTTATTTGTTTTCAGATTCACCGACTTAAACTTACACACTTTTTTAGATGATGGTATGTAACTATTAGAATAAGCTTAAAACTTTGCGCAACAACTCCTAACAAAACGCCACAACATGCAACAGGGTGTGCAAATGAACGCAATGTGTAACATCCATATCCAACAATATTCGGGGTTTTTGGCCAACACATGTTGCATCCGTTTGCAGGGGTCTTTACTGTGATTGACAGTCTTATCTTTGTATTCATTGCCTCTGGTATATTTGCAATAAAAAACAGAAAGAAAGAAAAAAAAGCTACATCATCCTCTTGGTCTGAACAGATCTCGCATGCCAGATCGCCCTAAGGGCGTAGAGCGCGCCTCTTACTTGCGCTATCGATTCCGCGGCTTATGTGATAAAATACTTAATGAACATTTCTGGGGTTGAGGAGTCTTTCTCGGAGCAGATCAAACCATGTTAGATCAGGATCTATTATGGAGAAAAAAATATAGATTTATATCAAATTTGCTCGAGGTAGATATGATGTAAACTGAATCGCAGACAAAGAGGAAAAGCAATGGCATGGCAAATGCCGTATTTTCTCTCTAACTTACACGCAGCCTCATGTGAATTAGGATACAAATGTTGTATTTACAACCTTTGCCCTTGTGTTTCTCCTAGTTTTTTGCATAATATTTATCTCGAGCAAATTAGATGAAAATGCATTCTGTGAGATCTATTTGCGTTGAAAAGGAGGAATATCATGATGTGTATATTCACTGATAGACCAACGGCTGATAGCTGATAGTGAGTTATATGGCTTAATCAGACCTCTCTTTTTCCAAAATAGGTATTATTACTCGTGAAGAGTTTGAGCATTTGAACACCATTTTGATCGACAGTTACATGTATGAAATGGGTCGTAGCCATCCTCGCCACAGGGAAAGATTCAGTGAACAAACATGGCTGACGCAAGAACACGAAGACGGGCTTCTTCAGGGAATTCGCTTGAGGTACAATAAAATGTGTCCAGTTTCTTGTACGATGAAATATTTAGAATTACTTTAATTTCATTTTTCACATCATAACATTTAATTAACCTTATGGCTAAAAGACAAACGAAGCAAGCTGTTCGCATTCATTGGAGTGTATTTTCATTTGTAACCCAGTCTTCACGCTGTAAGGGTTAAATGCAAAACCCCAAACGGACAACATACGCCCAGGTCCCATAATGCACCTCATTTGCCCCCCAAAATTATGCATAACCTTTGTTTTTCATTTCTCCTGTCCAAGAGAAATTGAAAACAATGCTTATGCAAACTTTTGGGGGGAAAATAAGGTGCAGCCTTTACACAAGCAAAAGCACCAAGTCAGAAAATGTTGTTCCCACGCCGGGAATCGAACCCGTGCAGTGTGTCAGTGAAAGCGGAGATCATGCACTAAACCAGGTAGGAGTGGTTAGTTCTGGGAGGCAGAATAAAAGAACTTTATGTCACTTAAGCGAGAGTTGCTAAATAAAACAAAGCGCTTTAGTTGTAAAAACTGTATTTTAACCTATTCCAACTGAAAGTAAAGGAAAATTTTCTCAGGCAAGCCTGAAGGGACGAGCGAGAGCGTCAAAGCCGTAACCAGTGATTGGACATACACAGTGTCATACAGCAATGAATAGGAGTGTTTATAACTTAATATGCAGCGTTTTCAACTGATAACTTATGATCACAGGTTGTCATGAACAAGTATAATTAAGAATGTTTTGTACATTGTTGTCTCAAAGAGTTCAAGCCCTAACGAAACTCCCGGATGAGATAATTTACGGAAGCGAGTACATACAGGTACGATGCTGCTGAAGATTCATCTTGTACCCTTAAATCTAAATCTACTTTTTCATGAAGTGCTTACCAAGCGTTTAACTATTGATTATCCACTTACATTTATAAATTTATAAATTGTACGTTGTTTCATTGTCTAAGATGGATCCAATCTAGAATAAAAATCCTGCTCTTCTAATTACCTATGACCGCGATTTAACTCGGGGTACTAAATTAAAATTGCCTTTTTTATGTACCTCTATTTAAGTTGGGTTTGGTGCAATTTTTGAATTTTTATTACCTGACCTTTCCTTCGTTATCAATTGAATTGTTCTCCCCTGTTTTTATTCCGTTGAGTAGCGTCCCCGACCAAACAGATGGTTCAATATAGGTGCACTTCCTTTGCTCTGTGATTTGCTTGCATTGCATCGTGGCCGTTGACCGAGCTTTCTTCTGTACACTTTAGTCCATTCCAAGCTCATAAGGCAAACCCTCATTTATGCATGAAGATTGATATAAATGCGTTTGATTATATACCTCGACTGTGTGCTAATTATCTGGCAGGTTGTTCGTTATGGAGTTGACGGACATTACCACGCCCACCTTGACAGTGAAACTCATGAGAATCCGGAGATACGCTGTTGTCATCAGATTCCAAACGCTGGAACAGATGGCCGTGGAGCAAAATGCAAGTTGTGCAGGTAATAGGGCGGATGTCTAGTGCAACGGCTTACTATCTAATATGACAATATTTTGGAAATCAAGAGAGCATTCTCTCTTGTGGAAACAATGGAATCGAATCTCAGTAAATAGCAATGTGATCCCACTTGCTGTAAAAATTTGTTGCAGATGCTCTTACTGCAATGTAAAGTTTCCGTTTGTTCTACGTATTTGAAAACTTGGACCCCCAACAAAGAGCTTCTTCCTTTTTTCAGGTCACCAGATCTTTAGGCAGACAGGTTCGTTTAATTTTCCTAACATCTTAAACTGACCACTTTGACAGGTATGTCACAATCCTGTATTTCTTAAATGAGGTACCCGCCGGTGGTGAAACAGCGTTTCCATTGGCTGATAATGCCACTTTCGACAAAGAGGTTTGTGTACTTTGCTGTTCGCACTTCTTTCTGTTCTATCGAAAGTATTTTTATGCTTTATTTTCTTTAACATATAAAGTATTGTGGTTTTGATTCCTATCTGCTGGTTAGTCTTAGAGGTTTTTCTTCATTTTTTCTTCGGTATTTTGTCGCCAGTCTATTGGTCTTTCGCGAAGAAAAATCAAGGGAAAACTGGGACCGCATAGGATCGGAAAAATGAATAATCCATGAATGAATCCATGAATGAATATGGTTGCGCAGGGCCTTTTATTTAATTGAGGCATATCAATATAATTTTCTTCAGGCACTAACTACGCATATCTTAACCAAACGTTAGAGAGCTACAGCATTTTACTTTGTAGGTCATGAGTCGGGAGTTTGGGAAAAGGGAAAATATCATTCTCTTACGTAATTCAAATTCATGATACCCGTTGAGCGCTCTCTGAACGACAGAGCAACGGAGTTAAACGCCTTTGGCACAGCGCATTCTGTGTGTTGATAAACAATTAACGTGGTAGGATCAAAGCTCTTTCATTGAATGATTTCTCAAATTGCTTTATTCCATGTTAGCTATAAGATGAACATTACAATCAAGACAGTTGGCTCTTGCAATGCGAGCGTTAAATGACCGTACTTCTAAAAATAGCCCGCATGGCAAGGAAAGAAATAGAGAAAATCGGGTGCACTAGTGAGCAATGGACACGCTGTTTATGTAATAGTTTTCCCCTCTTACCCCTCCCTTACAGACGCCCACGAGCCACGTAGGCTAAGTGGAGATCGTCAAAAGTAATTTCTAATTAACTGAAACGCTCCCGTAAAATTTTTACTTGCAGCTTATAGGAGCCATTCGACCTAAACAAGACCTTTACAACCTGAGGGAATATTGTCACAAGTCGAATTTGGTTGTAACTCCTAGAAAAGGAACTGCCATCATGTGGTATAACCACTTCATGGACCCGGAAAGTGGCTGGATGGGAGAAATGGATCCATATTCAATTCACGGAGGATGCGCAGTAAGGAAAGGCATCAAGTGGATCGCAAATAATTGGATCGCCGCTCCATATAAAAAGCATGCTCATGTCCCAAGCACATACATACTCGGCCCAGATACTTCTTTTACCGAATGGGTGTGACAAGATCTGAGAGGCTGCAGAGGAGAGTTTCCTGTTCTGCATTACAAACACTGGCAAAATAACAAAACAATTGTTCAATATTGCACGAAGCGCTGTCAATTGGGGTTGCTCGGCTACGATCAGTGATTGAGGCTGTTTTAAACTCTTGAAAAATACCATCAACACGGTACTCTAGCATCAAAAAATTAAATTCTCATTTGATGTCCTTCTACATTTCCTATTAAAGAATTGGAGAGAAGTTGTTTAAGTATCCGAATTCAATTCATCTTGTGAGTTTTTTTCGCTTTGTTTTGTGAAGCATAGATATTACAAGGAGAAACTGATTGCCGTTGATCACTCCCTTGGCTCAAGGGTCAGCGGTAAGTCATGGAAACAAAGTTTATGTGGTGGACCTGCGTTCAGTTTCAAAGAGGCAACGACTAATATAAGGGCCTGGAAGAGCTATTGGTGAAGGCTTTTGGCTTTTAAAATTGATATATATATAAAAAATGTACAACTGTGCAACTGCAGCAACTTGTCTGATAAGACAGAAGCGACAACTCAATAGCGTCATTAAAACTTAGCATAAAGAAATGAGGTTTGCAGATTACAAAAAATATTTTAATAAAATAATTTACCGTTGAATGATAAAACGAAAAATATAGTAATGAGCACTCAATATTATCATAGTAAGTTTTTGGAAAATAAAGAAATCGTGAATGCAAAAATCCTTACAATAAAATAGTGTTTCTGAGAGGGTGATTGGCTTATTAACTTACATGGACGAGTGTGTAGTCAAAGACCGTTTGTCTAACACTCCTAGTGTTTTGTTTTTTTCCTCGCCTCTTCCGCACCCCCCTTTTTTGCAATATTCCTAGCAATGGACCTGAGGGTAAAAGATCCGAGTCAAAGGTCACCGTTTTATGGCTGCGCGCCTGACGGAGTTTTCTCGAGGGCTAAACCGTCCCCTGCGAGGAAAATGACACACTAAGGGAAGAGAGAACTTTCCTTATGGATGGGGCGTTTTCACACGCGCTCGCGTATTTCAATCAGACAGTCACTCACTTTAGGGAAATATTAGGCAATAATTTTTTATTTAGTTTACTACTCATACAACACGAGGCTACCTTCGTCGCTTACTGGTGATTGTTTAGATACGGGTCCCTATAAGCTACAGCTCTCTAATATGACCCCCTAGTACGACTAGAAAAGCTTAAAATAGCCAGGTTCAAGCTGAACAAGGAGGAATTACTGGACAGTGTAAAAGTAATCATGTCAGGCGATCTTCTTCTTATCATTCTTTTTGTTTCGGAGAAGCACGAAATTCGAGAAAAGCAAAAAAAGGAACTAGCCTGTTCGCAGACCCTCTATTTCCGTCAAGCGCGCGTGATAAAGTATAAACCGCGAAAAAGACGAAAAGAAAAATAGACAACGTCTGTGTACAGGCTAAAAGGAACCGCCCTATTTCCCCGGCCTCTTAACGAAAAAAGGATGGAGGACCGCTTGATCTCAGGTTAAAGTAATCCCTGTAGCTTTCATACTTCTGGCTAAAGTTACACAGTACAAGATACCTTGTCTAATTTCTACCAATCATGTATGTCGTATATTCATATTTATGGATGCCACGTATGTTTACCCAAATGTGGCAATGACATCATCGCTCTACTTAAACTCAAGCTTTTGGCGGGGATTTCGTAGCTTTCCGTATTCCTGGCGTGCCGAACTTAACGAGGTGGGTTTCATTAAATACAGCTAAAATTAATTTACCAATATCACAATGCCAGAAAGATGTATCCGTAATAAGGCATCTGTTATGTAATAACGCAAGTTTGTGCTCAAAAACTTTTTACACTTTAATTATGAGTTTTGAATTCCGTCTTACTTACAGATATTGGGGATTCATTTTTCGCACATCCTTCGTCACGCTTCCAAGCTCTTAACAACTTAAAAACTAAGTTTAATTGTAAGAATAACTCGTGGAAGGTTGCTTACCATAACGATCCATACAAAGTACTATCCAAATCAGCTGAACAGACTTAAAAGAGTGGAAAAATTACATTGCCCTGAAATTACAGCCTCAGAAGCATCCCAAACGAACTCCGCGAACCATTTGATTTTCCACACGGGATTTCCGGTTTTTCCAAGTATTGGTAAGTGCTAAGGGTCTCTTAAAACTTTAAGCATTGAAGTTTGAAACAAGTCAGTTATTCACACTATTGGTAAGACTCCAAGATCACCTATAGGCTTTAAAAGTATATATTTAGATACGAGCGTCATTTAATCAGATTTGTAAGGTATAGTACTTTACTTTAATTATAAAATCAAAACTTCATTACATGTTAGAGCCGTTTCAAAAATAATTCATAGCTTGTATACTTCCAATAGATGTTTCATAATTAACTACGGACAGTTAACTATCGACTTGTAAGAAAGAAAGCATTAGAAGTCAGATTTCTTCAACCATGTACTTGGAATATGGGCCCCATCCTTGTATGGTGCCGTGATCCAGTTATTTGCGATCCACTTTTCTCCTTTCAGTATATCACATCCGCCATGTAAACTATATTCGTCTCTAGGCCCCAACCAGCCACTTTCTTCATCAAGCAAGTGGTTGTACCACATGATTGCAGTTCCCTTACGTGGACTGACTACTAGATTACCCTTGTGACAATTGTGACTAAGGTTGTAGTAGTCTAGCTTACCACGACTTGCGATCATTTCCTAAAAAGTAAAAGTTTTCGCATCATTGCCCATTCATCAAGACTATGTTGTCCAGGAAACTGGGTAATAAATTTTAAAACAGATTTCCTGAACGTCTGTGATAAACTGGATTTCAATAATATGGCAAATGTTTGTAAATAAAATTGGTGAGTTGAAGCTTCAGAAGAAACTTTCCGGGAACATCGCCTGTAATCAGTTGTAAACCATCAAGCTGTTTTTTTTGTAGTCCAGTTTCTGTAAGCTCTCTGTCTATCGAAATGATTGCAGACCAAGTCAGAGCGAATTTAGGGATTGTCCGAGGGGGCCGCGACACCCCTTTTTCTTTAAAATTTTGTATTATTTTGATAGAATTCTCAACGAAAATAAAAATAAACTATAAAGCTGGCAAGAGGGCAAGGGCAGTGTCCCCGCCACCACTTTTTGAATTTTCTGGGTCCGCCCCTAGAGACGCACTGACAAAATTTGTTTTAGCTTGTGATTTTTTCAGTTTTTGGCTGAAATCAAGCTCACAAATATGACATATCCAAGTGAGTCTACCCAAAATAACCCATAATAAGCACACATCATTTTAATCTACAGATACCTGAAAACAGGAGCCGATTAGCAGGAAAATTACTCGCTGCAAGTTGCCAATGCTCTCTAGTACTGTAAGGTAATATCAAATTTTGTTGCATAACTCGAATCAAGACCCGTTAGAGCGAGGCCAACAGCGGATTTATACCAACAACTTACTTACTTACATGTCTAAAGTGGCATTGTCCGCCATTGGGAAGGCTGTCTCGCCTCCTTCTTCAACGTCATTGAGATAATATAGTATTGTGATGTATCTGAAAAGATAAGTAACAGTTATACGTGCAAACTGATGGATCAGGCTGAATGTTAGCATACAGCTGATGATTGAGGACGCCTTCGTTAAAGAAATTTGTTTGGCTCAGGGCTAGCTATTGACTCACTCCCCCTAACACGGATTTTAACCTAGCCGTTTGCGTACAATTGTAGTTGCCTGAGAATTCGCGCCTTAGTTTTATTTGACAGATAAAATTTGCCGTATTTGAAAGGCTTTAGTTATCGAAAGAGCTTATGGTCATTCTTTCAAAGTTCAATTCACAGATGGGCTTTCGCCGTTCTAAAGAGTCGAATCTCTTTGTTGTCATTCTGGCGCGGATGCTGAAGGCAAAGTTTGCGCGTCGTCTACAAGAGCAAATACAATACAATAATAAAAACATAATAATAGTTAGCTAATGTCATTATGTATTTTTTCCTTAGTTACATTTAACTGATTACTCTGCCTGGGCGTGAAGATCGTATACTGAGAATAATTAATGTTTCCGTCGAACTCAACCGTACGAATTTGAAGACTATTACCTGCATATCCTACAGCCCTGTCCCTTTGCAAAAACTTTTATAACGTCTTCATGCAAATGACAGCACTTTGCATCCGTCCTTTCATGAGTTTCAGAGTCAAAGTGTGCGTGGTAGTGACCACTTTGTCCATAATGAACAACCTGTCAAGATGAAATTAAAAAGTAAATTCAAGTGAACCTTAACAAAGTTCGTTACAACATTAGCAAACACAATCGGTTTGCACAGGAGGTAGAAGAGCTATACAACTTTGGAGCAAGCTGGGCCTGATGTAGTCTTCAACGCAGCCGTTCTTGTGTCATAACGCATTACGTTACATGACGACACAGAGGACGCCTTCGCAGAAGACTAGGCCTGATCATGTTTCGGAGTTGGGTAGTTAAAGAAGTATATTTTGAACAATTGCTTGCTTCAAAAATGGTTATTAACAAGTATATTCAGTTTTCTTGCTGCATATTCTTGCAAATCTGATTGTGCAACAGTAGTGAACTTCGTTATGAGATTCAACAGCATAGTTTGTATGACCTGCAACCTCTCACTTCCGTAGATGATTTCTCGAGGAAGTCTTGTAAGTTCCACAACTCTAAAAATAATAATAAAAAAGTTTATCACAATATTTTATTCCCATTTTCAGTTTTGAATTCTGTATAATCCAGTGCCGGATCCAGAACTTGAGATAAGGGGGTGACCCGGTCATCCAGACCCTTAGATAAGGGGGGGAAGGGGGGTCCAAAAAAAGATTTTTTCGGCCCCTCGGGCCACAGTTTGGTCTAAAAATAATGGGGGAACCCGAGCCCCTCCCCTGGATCCGCCACTGTAATTCTTTTGACAAGGAGATCCTCCAGGCCTTAAATCCAGCATGGGAGGGGAGGTAGCAGTTTGAAATGTTCAACTTATCTGATATACTAAGAGATGATAACAGGACAGAAAGGGAGTCTTAATTTCAAAAAAAGGTACCGTAAAATTCCGAAAATAAGCCCCTCCATGTATAAGCCCCTCCAAATATAAGCCCCACCAAACTCGTAACGCAAAAACCCCTCCCTTAAATCGCCACTCCAAATATAAGCCCCCCTTGGGCTTGTAATTGGAAATTGCCCTCAATTACATTTACAAAGTAAAACAAAGCAAAAACGGTAAATTTCCTTTCAACTTTTAGGCAAGCCCAATCGATTTTGAAACTCAAATTTCCCTCCACAGATAAGCCCCCCGAACATGTGATGAGCCCCTCCAAAAATAAGCCTCACAAAAAGGGCCATTGAAAAATATAAGCCCCGGGGCATATTTTCAGAATTTTACGGTATTATGCAGACCATGCGAAATGTAGTTTCTGGTAAACTGTTTGACTTCTGGAGGACTCGCTTTCATGATTCAGGGCGCTAAAGCGAGGCGGAGTTAACAAATGAAACAAATGGTGGCCTAAATGTAGGGACGATGTGGAGAGACTTTGATTTGGTTAAACCGTACAAACCGGTTTAAACTTCTACAAAAACGGCTCCTTTACAAGCAACCGTGAAAGGACAGTTAAAGCGACCGCGTGATAACCGTTTTTGTTAGAACAGGAAAGCGGAGAAGTAGCACTGTGACCTCTATTTTGATCTCTTGGTATACTTATTGCCTTTGAACACCATCGTACATTTAACTCTTTATTATTAAGGACACTTTTGTGCACCAAAGTTCATACTGAATTTCCTACTCTAAAATAATGACAACTCTGATAGATGGACAGTTTGGTCTTGGACCAGTTTTGACTGTATTTTGTTCTTACCTTTCTGTTATCCTATTTAAGACTGGATCGTCTAAGCCTCTCTGATTAACCCAGGTCTGTTCACTGAATCGTGCTCTGTGGAGCGGATGTGACAGAGTTGTTTTATATAGTAGGTCACTTAATCCCAAGGTATTCATCTGCTCAAATTCCTCTGGCGTGGCAAATCCTTAACGATGAAAAGAAGGAATCAATGAAGATTATTTTTCAACTTTTTTTTGGCGGACAATGACAGATAAAAGAATTGCGATGTTGAATTAATCGCTAAAGAGTCTCATGAACGACTGGGGAGATAAATTGTGTGGCTAATTCTTATCACTTGTTTGAAACAGAACTCACAAAGAGAAATTACCATCGTCAAATTCCGTCACGTTGATACTTTGAAGTCTGAAAGGAAAGTCGGAGAAGATAATTGACCAATGTTGTCTCAGATATTTGTAAAAATTGTGAATTACATCTCTTAATAATGTTTTCATGAAGAGCTTCAACAACAGGAGATAAACTAGAAAGGGATAACCTCATTTATCTCCTTTTCACTTTTTCGATTTGGATTTGTGAATAAACAGTTATTATTACAACAGCCATCAAAAATCAATGGAACAAAAAACTTTTATAGACCTCAAAGTATCCCACACCACTGAAAATAGAGGAGCAGTGGTGTAATTTTCTTTTAATCTAGTAGAAAGCCCAAAATTTAGAGCAAGCTCTCATTAAGGGAACCCTTGCAATTCAAGCGGATGGCTCTACTTACGACCTTCCAATCTGCAATTGCACCATTTATTTAATTCATGAAAGCGACAATTTCAGACTGGCCGAGACACTTTCGCCGGAGCCTGAATTACTCTTTTCTTTCGTTTCTAATTCTGCACGGTAAGGGTAAGGATACCACCAAGGAGAAATTTAATTGTTTGTTCTATTATATCCCAAATAATATGATCTTTTTTTTTTTTCGTAGGGAGATAAGCGATAAAACGAACATTGACATAGCGCGGTGGTATTTTTCCATCATTAACAATATTTCGAAATATTAGTAACTAGCGTTGTCCTATCATGTGCGCTTGTGTCGCACGTGAACATCCTCTCAATTCGGTTTGCTACAATCTACATACGTTGGGTCATAATGAACAAGTAGGACGAGCTTATAAAAAAACACTCACAATTGCAGCGTTTCTTCTTTTGTTAGAATGAGATAGTGATATCGTTTAGCGAAGGCCGCGACCTGTATTGAAGAAGAATAACAAAATCTTTAGTTAGATTTGTACTCATTCTACTCGGTGTGCCTCATAATTCATCATTAATGTAATTAATTCGGTACTTTTGATCTCACTCTACTGGCAAGGAACACGTAAAAGAAATTGAGGTGAATCATCGTTGAAGGCAATACCCGACCATCAAGATGAACTGCTAATAAATCATATTTGCTACTTTAAAAACTTAATTAAGCATTTGTAGCATCAAATTAGACTGCGGCAGGTATATATCAGAATGTAAATAAAACGGGTATCAAGGTTCTAACAGTGGAAATAAATGACTCCCATTGGCCGAATCAATGGCTCATTCAGCAGCTTGGAAGTTAGCGAGATGATAGAAACTTCAAAAGTGATTCAAAAGGGAGAAATGGATTTTAAAAATGTTATAACTGATCCCCATAGGGCGAATCAATGGCTCATTCAGCAGCTTGGAAGTTAGTGAGATGATCGAAACTTCAAAAGTGATTCAAAAGGGAGAAATGGATTTTAAAACTGTTATAAATAGCATAACGTGCCAATTATTTTAACACCATCTCCTCGATCCCTTTTTAACTACACAAGAAACCAAAAACTGACGAGTTCAGTAACAAATAATGCAGCCAACTATTTCTAATAAAAATCTCCTTACCTCTTCCAGAGTGACTTTCTCGTCTTTGTTGACATCGAAACCTTTAAAGTATCCACTCATTCCTTCCCCTTTACCAGCTGTAATCAGTAGAGCATGCACTCATTAGAGTTTCCTTACGCTGCGCCCAAAAGCAATCCAAAGAAACATGGAATGACCCTAGTGTAATCAGCTAGCATCATATTTGCTTTATTGATGAGATTTACGCAGTCTGCTTAAGGTATAATTATATCTCAGTTTAAAACTGACAATATGATGGTCGCAGAAGAGTGAGAGAGGGAATGGAAGAAAAGTGCTGAAAAGCACCTTTTTCCTTAGTACAGTGTAAACTCGATTTAACGAAGAGCCGAATGACTGACAAAATTTGTTCGCCATAGAGGTTTCGTTATATCGAGGTTCTTTTCCATATATTTTACTATTACTGAAAATCATTCGTTATGTCCAGGACTTCGTTATATAGAGGTTCGTCAAATCGAGGTTCTACTGTTTACAAAAATTTTCATTTTGAGTTGACAAATAAATCAGTCTTACTCCCTCGAAGATGGACGCCTTTGGGACCGCCACTAAGAGAAGTCCGGCTTTAATATATAGATAGTCAAATACAGGAAGAAAAAAAGAAAGGGATCGACTGTCAGGGTGTCCGTACGTTTTACTCGGAGGTGTCTGTCTTATAGAGGTGTCCTTTGAGAGGTCGGTAGCCTTCGTAGCAAGCGTTTCCGTTTGGTTTCGGAGCAAAGAAAGACCGAGGAACGGGATTTTTGGTTTTGGCCGCGAGAGAAATGAAACGAGACCCAAAAAATGTTTTACTTGAGCAATTTCTCGCTTGGTCTTTGACTCTCGCTCCTCGTTCTTTGCTCCTGAACCGCACGGAAACGCTTGTTACGCAGGCTAAGAGGTCGTGGAGTCGGCAATCCGTGATTCACCGGCACACATGTATTGCATAATGAGTTTTCCACAATTGCTCGCTATGCTGAAGCGAAAAAAAAAATAAAAAAATAAGACGGAATAAAAAGAGGAAAGAACCCCTTGTTAGGTTACTTGGAGCCCCCCTTTGCACGTGATGGCAAGTAAGATCCATGAAGTGCAACAGGGAACAGTTCAGTCTCAGTTTATTTCATTTAGATAACATTGTTACTGACATTAATTCGACTGTGTTCTTACTTCGAATATCGGGGATGGTAAATTCCTCGATAGACTGGAGTCCTCCACGAGCCACGCTAGAAATAAGCCCAGTGTTTTGTGCCAGATGAATGATGTGATCGCATTCTTCGTCGGATAGGAAATTTGGAATTTCTTGAAATGAAAAGCACTGGTAAGAGTACACTTAAGAAATTTCTAATCTTGTAACTTTTCAGGGACCTGCATAATAGACCCTAGTATCACCCTCCTTTTATTTTCGAATTTTAAAAATCTTTGGCTACTGAAATGCTTCGTGGAAATTCTTCTGCTAAGAACACCTTTTCCTGCCCCCGGTATCGAACGTTAATTTGCAGTTCCTTAAGTTGTTTCTGCAGCTACACAAGACAAAGAACTACCGAAAGAACCCATTTGGAAGAGAGCTTTCTTTCAATGTGTCATTTTATTTTAGTTTCATTTGGAAGTTGTAATATCAACTAAATCGTAACTACTACGTTATAACTTTCTCACCAAACACTGGTGGTCTCAAGGCTCTTGTTATTCGTTTCCTTATCCCGTCCCCGAGATCCACTTCCTCCACGTGACCAACCTGCAGCCAGATGATACGGCTATCGTCACCAGGGCATTTTAACAATTAAATGTTGTTATGGAAACAGGTCGAGGCCAACGATCCCCCCTCAAACAGTCGTTTTCATTAGAGATCGATGGAACAAGCCGCCTTTTACTGTAATTAGCAGGTTGTCTTTTAGGTTTCTATTAGATTTGACAGCTTCTGTCTAATTAATACTTGTGTAAACCCATGCTTGTAATTAAAGCAGGATAGAGCAGGGTGCTACCTTTTGACAAACAGCACCTAAAAGTTCATTGGGCGAATAATTATACAGGTCAGATACGAGCGAATTCCCTTGCAATCTATCCGTGGGCTGGCTTTAGAAATTTCGATAATTTCAGCAATCGCTCGCTCAGGAAAGAGAGAGATCTAGTCTTGGTAAGTGAAAGTGCATGTGTATGGAAACATTTGGTTTAGAAATGCAAAGGTTATAGAAATTCTTCAGGCTTGTTGCAGCCTGGTATCTGTTTTCAAAAAATGAAATAAAATCAAATTATCATAACTTAAAATCCAAACCTTTACGCCGTCTATTCTTGTCAAGCCTGCCTTTCTTCCGATCATGCAAGGCTCGTCACCACGAGAATCGAATTTCTTGAAGTCGCAAATGGCGTCGTTGTTCCTAGTAAACCTACATACGCTATACTCCTTGCCTGTTCCATAGAATTGGTTATCACATTCAGCGAAAATATGGAAAAGAAAAATTGGCAGACATAATTCGACTAACAGACTAAACATAACCATGATTTACCTATTTTAAATCTAAACAATCATTGTGAACTTTTTAGACTTCAGGCGCTATTAGTATGGTGGTACCCGTTGGAAATTAAGCTTTATAAATTATGAATTGATAGTACAAGCCGTTTATCACGCTACATGGACATAGATATTCTCCTTATTCTAACCATTCAATTTTTATTCCTTTCTGGGGAGAATTTACTTACTGGTGATGATAGTAGCCGTACAGTAATTGAAGCGGAACTTTTACTAGACTTGTATCAGTGACCACGATCTTGGAAGGAACAATGACACATGCACTGTGATATCACACACGCCAGAAAAGAAGGCTCATTATTGAACCTTGTTTTTGTGGCTTGGTTCAAATTGAAACTGAGCCAAGTGGCGGGTACCATTATTATTCATCGCAAGCCACCCTTACCAGACCAATATCCAAATGGACAATTTAAGTCAAGGCGATAATTTCACAAGAAATAGGAGGTCAAAGGCTTGTTAGTGAGTTATTCAATGTCTGCAAAAGCACTCAAGTCGTAAATGCTAATCTCAATGGATTGTTGAATGCTGTAAAACTAACAGAAATACAGATTAGAAATCCCAAAACGTCACCCAGGTTTAATCAATAAAGCAGTATGAAAACGTTAAAAGTTTACTAATTTTTTTGTGTAATTGAATGTTTTATTTTTTCGTAATTTGCCCCCGAGCCAAAGATATTTCTGAAAATTAATTAAGGTTGTTCAAATATCCGCCTGGTATTAGCCTGTTGATCATTTTTCTATTTTCTATTTTCATCTCACCAGTTTATCCACTTATACCGAGGTACCTAACGGTAAAATGATTGGTTCTTGGAAGTGGAGCGTTGATTAACTTCCGTAACCTTAATTTTCATAGCCTTTTTTTTCTAACCACAGTTTTATTATGAACACTTCTAGAAAATAAGGATAAGAACAAAAAAAACAAGCAAATACTGAAACAATAATAGACTCTAGCTTTCGCAAAAACCTTTTTAATGCTTGCTGGAACTGCCGAAATATTGAATGGAAGCACCCCTGTCATGTCATACCAATGGAACTAAAAGAGAAAGCGTACGGATGGCTAACAAAAAAAATTCTTTTCTTTTACTTCTTTCTTCGTTTTAATTTACATTAAATAAAGTCGAGTTAATTTCGTTTTCGTTAATTAACATATATATTTTAAAAGGTTCCCATGATTTAACGAGGAAAGAGTAATTTTGTTTGCTGGATCACAGGAAAGGTTGAATAGAATTTAAATGTTTATTATCTGTTTTAACGAACAACTGGATGTAAATTTTCATATTTTGCCCATTCTTGTAAAGTATCACTACAACGGTTTACACAGGCCGCTTAAACACTTCATGTTTATTAGACACTATTTCGTCTTAGTTTATTTGCATTTTCACATTATCTCTCGCGTGGACTTGCTGGTGTTTAATAACTTTAACTATCAGAGAGTGCAAATAACACTACTGCATCAACGATCTTTTTCTTTTTTCTCGGGTGGGAGTAGTATAGGAGGGATAAAACTATCCCTTTTTATGGACTTCATTCACTTTTTGAGTGGCATACATGTTTCCCTCCACCACATCGACCCTACATCGACCTCCTTATATCTTTATTGTTTTCCTCCTCCACCACCACCACATTTCTTTTATTTTCCTCCTCCTCCACCAACACCACATTTATTTTGTTTTCCTCCTCCTCCACCAACACCACATTTCTTTAGTTTTCCTTCTCCACCGCCATCAACACATTTCTTTTGTCTCCTCCTCCACCACCACAACCTTCTCCTCCTTTTTTCTCACAGACAGGTTATTTGAGCGTTAATGTATGCCACTCAAAAAGTTAATTAAATCCAAAAAACGGATAATTTCATCCCTTCTATACTACTGTCGGGGAAACCTTTAAGTCTTCGTAACTTAGATATAAATGCTTTTACATTCTTTTTCTTGCTTCAGTTTCCTCCCATGACGAACTATTTTTAATATCTACGTCGCCTAACCAACTGACCGAGCCTTCAGAATCCGAACCAACTCTTTACAATCAACCTTAACCCTCAACAAATAAGGCTTAACCCTAGCTCTATCCCAGACCTGAGGTAGGGTTAGGATTAATGTTTGGTTTAGAGTAATGCCTGTTTGTCGATTCTCGATGAGCATTGAAAGTAAATGAGTTTTGTGCTAATAGAAGTGTCCAAACTAATCCGTTCGCCCCATATTAGGGAATCTGGATTCCGGAATCGACCGGAATCCAGGAAATTTTTGCTTGTGGAATCCGGAATCCTGTGCTTTGGAATCCGGAATACATCTGAAGGAATCTGGAATCCCACTAACGATTGAAATCCGGAATCTAAGTTCCACTGACAAACTATCCGGAATCCAGAACCTGGAATCTGGTATCTACTGCGTAGAATCCATAATCCAACACTGTCTTGGATTCCATTACATGGGGCGATCTTCATGGGCGCGCTATTTTTGGCTTATTTGAAGAGAGTTGGTGTTAACGAGTGTCGGGTTAAGAGTTATGCTATTTTGAGTCTTCAAACACGAAAACCAATATTTTTTTACTTTTCTAAAATTTTAATTCTTTTGACGGAAACAATTTACATCAATTTTCTTATCTCACCTATAAGTCCTCAATAAGCAAAAAATAAAGGAAATCAATTTTTCAAAACTCTTATCACTCAATGCTCGATGGCTGTTGCTCTAAAAATGGGTGCAACATGGGGACACAGCTACCCCCTCCCCTTGAAAGGCCATAACAGCTCACTTGCCCCTTTTAAAGATTACCTACGCTTATTGCTAACTGTGAATCCAAAAACGATTCGGAGATTCTGAGTCCGCGGAATTTGCGGTCTAGAACAGATACTTAACTGTAAGCACCATTGCAGGGTCTCTATCACGTATCATTGTAGACAGCAGGAAAATGTACAACAAATGGAGAAATCATGTTAGTGCTTGAAAGTAAGCCAGGTGCTTTTTATATGGACCCCGTCCTTATATGGTGCTGTTATCCAGTTATTTGCGATCCATTTTTCTCCTTTCAGTATGTCACATCCACCATGTAAACTATATTCGTCCATTTCTCCAAGCCAACCGCTTTCTTCATCCATAAGATGATTGTACCACATGATCGCCGTTCCTTTCCGGGGACTAAGCACGAGATTGCCCTTGTGGCAGTTGTGGCTAAGGTTATAAAAGTCCAACTTTGCGCGGCTATTTCTGAGATACTGTTGAAGACAAAGGTATAATCACAGTGCTATTTCTAAAACGCTGGCCAGTTATTCATCATGGGTGTCACCTGTTTTCAGTTTAATGACATGTGAACGATTTTTAGATATTGCAATACAAGTCTAAAAATACTACAAAGATAAATGTGGGCCTATCTACCGAAAATGTCCAGAATCTGTTGCTTAAATTCCTTTCATTTTTGAAGCCTGATGAGAGATTTACACTGGTTAGAGCAAGATAAACCTACATTTTGAATAGAGGATTATTTTCACCAAACCAGCAATTATAAGGTAAATGTGACAAGAAATCAGTTTGTCGGTGTTTCACATTTTGTAGTACTTTGCTAAATATTACGGACGCTTTCATCTGAACGACGAAAAATGAAAATACGAAAATAATAATAATAAAAAAAAAACACAAGAGCAATCTTTTAGCTGCATAATCTTTGGATGGACTATACGGTAATCGAATGCAACTGGTGAGAGACTTTCTCAGTTAGACTTACGTCCATGTCTAATGTTTTGTTGTCCGCTACAGGAAAAGCTGTTTCTCCTCCAGCCTCCACATCATTAAGATAATACAATATGGTTATGTACCTAAGGGGGAGATTCAGATAAGTATGGAAAATTCGTTGACTATCGACTAGTACTCTACCTACCTCGCTTTTATAAACTGATTATTATCTTGCATGGTGAATTGATGTCGTCAAGTGTTTTTGACGTAAAAGTAAAGATCTTTAATTTTTGCAGCTTGTATTTAGCATTTATTATTGACTCATCCATTCATTTATTCATGCACTTAGTCGTTTACCTAAAATTGTTTAAGTAAAAAGACTAATTTTAACTTCAGTAACGCGCCCTTTAAAAGTGATGAGGCTAATCTCTGCAAACGAAAAAATCCTAATTTACAAAACATTTGTTAATATTTCAGATAGTTGCTTATTAAATGCGACAGAACTTATTTTTAAACCAAACGTGGTCTAATTTCGGCGAGAGCGAAACAGCTTTCAATGAATAAGAATTAGCCACACAGGGCGGCAAACCTCCATTTTGTTTTTATTTTGTTGTATTATCCACTTACGCGGTACTATATCTAGCCTGTAAAATTTACAGCTTGCATTTAAACTGGTTAAGATTTAAGGCTTCAAAAGGTAGGGAACCGGGCGGATTACAGGTCGTCCCCACACCCCCCGCCCCTCCCTCTCTCGCCACGTGTTGTTATGAACTTTTAACTTACCTGCAAAGTCTGCAAGGACTTTCAAAGCTGAGCATTACTGCTTCATCAACTTGATGGCAGCAAGGAACGTGGCTCATACTGTGAGTCTCAGAATCAAAATGCGCATTGTAATGGCCGTTCTTGTCATAATACACAACCTAAACGAAATTAACGCAAAAGTCAATTTAAAAATATTAAGGTATGAGCTTGCTTGACACCAACATAGAAACTGACTACGTCAGGTAGTTGTCTTTGAATTTCCACAAAAGCAAATAGGTTTCCCCAAATTTTGTACCATCGATTTCCACACAATTTTACACAAGCTGCAATCTCAACGATCATAGGAAGGACTCTGAAATATTCAAAACTTAGGTAAGACCACAAGTAGCAGATCCCGGCGAAGTATCTATACAAAAATTGCCCCCGTAGCGCAAACAAATGCACAACAATCGTGCCATAATTGTATTATTGCGTTATTGCCACTATATTCTATTTGCTTAAATAGTTGTCGTCCATTGGGGGAACGGGAAATTGTAAAATAAGTATCTTTAAAAATGTTAGCAATGAAACATTTGATAATTTAAACCTAACATTTGTAAAACCAAAACACAAGTTCGAAATTTTGTTTTGCTCGTATGAGCCTATTAAATAAAAGGCTGAAATCAGGGCTTTGCTTTGAATATGCCAAATAGGGTTTGGGGAACAGTCTTGAGCCTTGCGTCGGCAATTAAACTCTCTTTGTTCTGAATATGCCGAATCAGTTCAAATCTCCTCCGAATCAGTTTAAAGAGAAATCTTGAAGAACAGGCCGGCATATTACGATAATGGAAGATATATTATTTAGAGCACAAGTTATGTTACGGTCGAAGGATTTTGTTTCTCGATTCTTTACAGCAACAAGTTCCTAAAGACACTGTATTTTTAAAGGAGCATCTATACATTCAAACAATATCAAGGGGTTCCCGCAGTGACGGTTTAATCCGTAAATAACCCTGCAAAAAAACCCAACTATTTCGAAACTATTCCATGCAAATTTTAACTTTTAAATGTGAAAATCTGCCACTGGAATAGCTAGATAAAGATTTGCACTGACGCGAGCTGCATTGGATTCTTGAGGTATAGGACAATTCTCTACCTTTCATACCCTCAAAAAGCCGGGTTTAGTTCTCTTCTTTTGATTGTGGTAAAAAAGAATTCACCTGTATTCGCTCGCTTCCGTAAATGATCTCTTTTGGTAGCTTGGTTAATTTGATTACTCTGTAGGAATATAAACGTGAAAATATATATGCTATTAAACACTGCGCTGATCATTAGAAACGTTGGAAGTCAAATACAATGACCTTGTACTTGCCAAGTGGCTTCCTCACTTTTTCCTTACCTTTCCATTATTCTATCCAATACAGGATCCCTTAGATATCTCTGGTTAATCCAAGTCTGATCGCTATACCGAGACCTGTACTTTGGATGAGTTTTGCTAGCAACGTACATCATGGTATCCGCGCCACGCGTGTTCATATTTTCGAACTCTTTGAACGTGATGACACCTGCAGAGTGAACGAATGGGCTGATTAGTCAACTTAAAATTAAGTTTTTCAATTTTTACGCACAGAATTCCATCTGCCCATGTACTTACCGTCATCTAATTCAGTTACATTCACTTTGTGAAGTCTGTTAAGCGGACAAAAACATATCTTTTTAGTTCATCAAAAGACTAAAAAAGTATTTTTGCAATCTATGGTCACTCTCTATGTCTGTGGACGAAACCTAAAATTTGACGTTCATTCGTCAGTGTTAGATTTAGGTATTACTATTGCAGGGTCCTAAATCCGCGTTGTTGAGAAGAAAATTAAAATTAAGGGGTTTAGGCTTGTATGCAAGTAAAGGAAAGAGAAATTTTCCACTTTCTTTTCCCCACTCAGGCTTATAGCAAATCCGCGTGGTTGAGAAGAAGATTAAAATTAAGGGGTTTAGGCTTGTACGAAAGTAAAGGAAAGAGAAATTGTCCACTTTCTTTTCCCCACTCAGGCTTCGAGCAGGTCAGAGCGTACTCAGCCCGAGAAGCCACTCCACCTACAAGTACATTATTTCTATCTTTATCTGGTATAATTGCAAAGTCATATTTCTGCATGTGAAGGGTCAAGTAGCGACTTTGAATACTTCTAAAAAATCACTTACATTTCCATTAGATCACCTTCACTAAATATGACATACATGTATCTTTTAGCGAAATCGATCACCTGTTCAAAAAGAAAATGATAAAACCCTAAAAAGTTCTTTTTTAAACTGAGTGTGTGGCGCAGCGCTTGTGGAAGCACCAATGGAAGAGTATATATAATTACAAACGTTAATACTCACTCGAGTGTAAAACAATCGACAAAAACAACATCAAAAACAAAAACAAAACAAGGAAAAACAACAAATTAATGTCCATTACTTCTGAGAGAAAAAAAATAGTCTCGCCAGGTTTCACGCGCAACGCACCAGTCCTCCTACAAAGAATATTCGGTTTCAAATCGAGGCGGAAGCTCTTGAAAAAGATAATCATGAACTCAACCATACCTCTTCAACTGTGACTTTTCCGTCATAGTTTATATCCCAAGCTTCAAAAATCCCTGCCGCACCTTCTCCTTTTCCGCCTACAAAGTAGCAGATGATGAAAAAGACGAAGGAGGAGGAGAAGGCAATTAGCGAGGAGCAGCTGTATTCCCTTAGTAAATGATGCAAACATATACGAGGTTAAACACCATTCCATTTAGTACACCACGTACCTCGAGTTAAAGAAGTACTAGTAACCCAAAGTAAAATGATCGTTTTTCGTCAAAGCGCTCAGAAAAATGCATGAAAATGTATATTTCTCACAAAAGTACCTGATGTGCCATGAATGAAAAGAAGCTTTTCTGCTAGGTATGTCCTCTCAGAAAATGCAGCCTTCAGTTCTACAGTCATCAGAAATTCCTTTTATTTTCATATACTCCCTCAGAAAATTTAGCAAAGGTGTGTATAATAGATAGATTTAGCCAGGGCTAAAAGCGAAGCTCTCGATAATCCTTATAGTTTGATAAAAAAATACAAACTCGTGTAATGCTAAGCGGCCAAGGCAACGCCGGAGAATTGACGGTGAAAAACAACAATATGTCTAATTAGCAAAAAAGCAACTTTGTTCGTGCAGCACACTTTTTTTGTACAATTCTTTGCAGTTGTTTTGCACGACTACAACGTGAAAGTTCCAGAAACCTCTTATAGTTACACATTTTATGGCGGAAATGTCGTACGTGTTCTCATTTACTATTTTTTACTGCCGCTCATTTTCACCTTCCATTAGTGGCCGCTAGCATTTCTTATTTTCTCACTGCCACTGCAAAATTCTCGTGTTGTTCTTCCAACAAAAAAAATGTCTCCTTTGTTGTTTATCTCTTGCTCTAGATCTCTCTCCCTTTTTCTCGTTCATTCGCTGGCCTGCCGCCTACTTTCTCTTTTTCTCTGTCTTTCTCTTGCTCTATTTTCCAAATTTGTGGACATGACAATTAATCTAAGCCTAATACTTCAGACAACACGGATACAGAAACAATTGCCGCTTTCCTTTATCGTCTTTATTGACCCTTCAGTTGTCTCTGCTTTAAAAGACTCGGGTGGCTATGCGATTTCCAGCCAAAATAACCTCGAGTTGCATTTGGGTTGCTATACTTGTTGATTGAGTTATTTTACATTGGTATGCATGTGGTGCGGACGGACGGTCGGAGGGGGTCGGTGTACGGTCACGTGCTTACCAAATTTTCTGGAATGGATAGATTTTCTTAGCTATGGGACTCCGCCCACGCGCGTGTACTTCGTGCGCGCGTGGAGCTCTGCTATTATAATGGAATAGCCCTCTCTATTCTTATAGTCTGATCATAAGAAGGCACGAGATTAGATCGAAGCGTTGTCGGTTTTGTGTGCGATTGTTCCGTCAAAAGAGGAAAATTTTCTAGTCACCAGGTGAGAATTGTTATTAATTATTATTATTATTATTTTTTTTTTTTTGACTAGTAGCGTTAATTTTATAATCGATACCTACACATGTGATGTAATTTTTTCAGGTCTTAGCTACATGCATGTAGCTACGTACTTACTTTCAACTTTTGGTACTTCTAAGTCTTTCTTTGGCGTCAATCCCCCGCGAGCGATACTTGATTCAAGGCCATTTCGCTCAGCCAGCTTTATTATGTAGTCACATTCTTCGTTCGTCAAAAAGTGAGGAATTTCTGTTGTGGTGAAAAGCACGTTTTCCCTGGTTAATTTTAAGACTGAGTTTTCACGAATTGCCTTTATCTCCTAGTTAGAAAAAGTGTTAAAAACCTGTAAGGGAGCGTCAATCTCAAAACCCAACCAACTGATTAAAGGAGGCAAGCCATCTGCAGCCTAGCTACATTGCCCGCATGCGCGTTTATTTCTCGTCTCCAGAATACTGGGCTTTGGAATCCGGAATTCAGCCGTTTAAGGCATCCGGAATCCCGCTAACTATTGGAATCCGAAATAAAAGTCCCACTAACAAAGGGTGTCCGGAATATATACACATCTTGCATGGAATCTAAAATCAAAGACTGTCTTGGATTACATTGCAACTGGCCATGGGTGATAACTAAGGTACAGCTAGGATCATCTGACCATAATGCAAATGCATAATGGTTATGCGGAGCATTCTCAGATATACAAGAGAAATCTGCGTCAGACTTCAACAAATCTACAAAACGAAGAATTGTTGCAAACACAGTAAAGCCTTTGACAAAAAAGAACACATATACCTTGGGGTGTGGTGCAACCCATCAACACCATGGTGTATATAGTTAACTGCCGATGACTTTGAATATGAATGTATCTTACCAAATAAAAGTGGCTTCATTGCTCTAGTAATTCGGTCTCTCCAGCAATCTCCTAAGTCTACTTCCTCCACATAACCAACCTGTGTAATTATCAATAAACGTAGTATGACCACTCACGTGTTGGGTGTTGGACGATCCAAACTCATTCAGAGGAACGTAACTGAGCCAGACGTCGAACTTTTCATGAACTTAACATACCAAGTTTCGTTCGTCTGGTGAAGGGTCCGACGTTTGGCCTAGGCCTAAGACACATATCTCTGACAACATGCACAGCAATAGCCTCGTTATTTTGTGAAACAACCTCAGTTTAAACGTATCTCACTCGCGATACCAACGCTGAGCAATGGGCCACTCGAAAGCTTACCTCTAGGAGTCAGTCTATCTCAACTAGGGACTTTAATATCTTACGACGCGACGGCAACGAGAACGTCGCATAAAAAAGTGAATTTGTCATCCTTCAGTCTTTATCGCGATTATTCTTACCCACGCCCTTTGACAAATGTCGGTGAATCCTCCCGAAGCAGAATTCCAAGGTACCATATCCAAGTTCATATAGAGAAATAAAATTTCGTCGTTGCTTGTTTACGAGCTGCACAAAAAGTGCAAAGTTGTTGTTTTGCTTATTAAACCAATTCTTTTTGTTTGTTTGTTTGTTTTTTGTTTGTTTGTTGTTTTTGACGTTCTCGTGTTGCGGTCACGTCAGTTGGATCTTAAAGTCGCTTAGTTGAAGAAAGAAGAAGTCTTCGAGGTGGAGTTTGGGAAAGGGGTAACTGAGAATAGCAACCTTGTAACTAAGACTATTTAAGCAATAGAAAACGTTTTCCGTGTTTGCATAGCCTGATATAAACACGAGAGGGGTTGGGAGAATTCGAGACAGTTATGCAAACCAGAGACGAAGTCGAGTTTTTGCATAACTGTCGAGAATTCTCCCAACCCAAACAGAGCAAAAACGTTTTCTATTGCTTTTATAAAATAACTTTCCCGAGAAAAAAAAGGAAAACGCTCTTGGTAAGAGCATTGATTAAAAGAGAAATTCTTACCAGTCTTGTACACGAAGCTTGTACGCATAATCAGTGTTTGTTTTGCAAAAAAGATGCTTTCCAAAATACGGTTTTTCTCGCTTAAAATGTCAGCTTAAGCGAAAAAAAATTGACACAGCATGTTTCTAAAGATTTTTTCAACCGACGAGGAAATGGGTAAATAAAGTCAACTTATCGAATTTTTCAACTCAAAACCTTTTTTCAAATTCGTGATGGCGTGATTAGCGCGCGGAAAGCCAAACAAGTTGGCGTCACAACCATGTTTACATACTCTCATGCAAACACGCCTCTTGGCCAATCAGAGCGCGCGTACTATCTTAGTTATTTTATAAAGTGCAATCCACCACGCAGTGACCAAGATATAGGGACTGAGGAGGACTGGAAAAAGCGGTAACAGTAGATTTTAATTATGCGACGAATATGGAGCTAATTCATTTGCAATGATGATAGCAGTACTAACATTCAAATCTGAGAAAAGTACTGACGGGGTTTATTTCTCTATACTTTACCGTTCCAGGCCGGTGATGAATGCAAGCATGATCACAAGGATCATAAAACGATTAACCACAGATAAACGACATCCTGGTGTAGTTAGCATTTATGACAAAGGATCATAACAAAAAATAATTTAAAATTTAAATGCATACCGATCTGAGATTAAGCACAGAAGTAAAGCTGGTTTAAACTTGTACTGTTAAACAACACAAGACATGCACGCAACATCAGAAGACACCCCGAAGAACTCGTTCACTGGTAAACGGTCCGCTTTCGAAAATGGCACTTATCGGATATAGTCATCCTTTTAAAGCCTACGTTTAGGAAAAATTGCAAATAGATGAGTTGAATTAGCTTACCTTAAAGCCATCTAATCGTGTAAGACCACTTCGTCCCACAAATGTCGGACCACTGTCTTCCCGATCTTCAAGAAGGCGTGTTTTGGAATTACAAGCATGGTCCCTAGCGTCACAACTATTTGTCTCAGACGCGAGTGAATCAGAATATAAATTACAACAAACTAAATTAAGGCTAAGTAAGGAGAAGAGGTAGAAAATCCTGATACAAAATAAAGGAACCATAGTTGACGCTTTCAAGGCGAGAACGTTTTGAATAGTAGTTGCCATGCATGGTACCAGACGAACCCACCAAGCAAACTCAATGAATCATTAAAAATCATCATTGATTTTGTTTCAATTAGTTTTCTCGGTTTGCACAACTATATTCATAGTGGAAGAAATTTTAAATTTGGGAAACTGTTCGAAAATAGTCATATTCTTCCTTTGCATCCATGCTTGAGCAGAGCACAGTTAAAAAGTTTTTTAACTTGATTATCACAGCTCATGTTTGTTTTCTAATTAAATGCTTGAAATCAACAGGTTGAACCGCACCAACAAAAACATTTGAGCTTTGCCAAAATACAAAAAGGAACATTTTGTTCTATTGTTTTAAATCTCAAAACGTTTCGCAAGAAACCAATTCATTTCATTGGCTGTTCCAGTGTCAGCGAATTCGATTGATTGATTGGAGTTCTCCTTTGCTTTAAGTCATGAGCACGTGTTTGGAAGTGATCCGTGTTTGGAAGTGACCTGTCGTTTAGTCCTTTACAGTGAGAAAACACAAGAAGGCTCTAAGTTTTCTGTTTGCTTTAAATCCAATCGATGCAATAAAATGTATTACAATTATCTGATGAACGCATGAAGGCATGGCGGTAATGCATCGTAATCACGAGCCGTTGTCGTATCTGACTTACAGTGTTTCAGAAATCCATGCCATTGAAGAGCCCGACACTTGTCTGGGCTCCTGGCGAGTCTTAACGTAGGGTCCAAACCTCCTGCCTCCTTTAGTTTGCCTTCCCTCCCAGCCCCCTCCTAAACTCCCCCCACCACCACAGTGTTGTTACATGATTTCTCCCGCTTTTAGCACTTCACAGTCTGCGCTAACGTTTCACAAGAATAAGTGCAAATGAATGGGATAATGTCATCGGTGCCTCACTGATACCTGCTTTATATTTACTCAGTTTGACCTTTCTTGGTCTAAAGCTTTCAAGGGCGAAAAGACCCATGTCTTTCAAGTCTAAAACACTTCCTTATTCGCACGAGTATGAGCTGAAAAGCCACGGTGTGGTTTTCAGGGTCTTACCGCAAGAAAGGATAACCTCATTCTCTCTTGGTCTTAAAAGAGGTTGAAGGCTGGCCTTCCTGGTGGCAACAAAATAGATCCGGGCGTAGTTAATCGAAAGAAATCGATATTGTACTTGTTTCGGCGAAACCTGTTATTTCACTGTGCATCGATTTTATAAATTGAAAAGCTGCATTAAAGGGGCTGTGTCACGGCAGTCTAGTTCATTTTATTTGCCAATTACTTGCCCTCAATAGCTACGGAACGTAAGCAAAGAAATTACATGGAAAGGACAAAATCAGAGACTCGAGACAAACAAATACATGTCTCTTGGGCATTATTTTTTAAGTTGCAAACAGCAGGGATCAACTTCGAAAAACTGTTAGGCTGAACAGTTTTCAAAAACCCTAATTTCAACCCGTTTCAATCTTCTTCAGTTTTGCCCATCCGTGGCATCTGTTGTTTCCGTTGTGTGATTTTAACCTTCCTTTAAAGTTTTAAGCGGTTATTTTTATGTTTCTTTTAATTTAACGGGCATTTTGCAATAACCTGATTTGGTTGAATTTCGTGACACAGCTCCCTTAATGCCGTGCAGACAACATCGCGTTAATGTTGAATTTCTACCAAATGACTTAAGTCTTTTCCAATAACATTGATAGTAATCGGTAACAGTAGATAATAAATCAATCATTGTCGATTTTCATAATCAAAGTCAAAATTTTTTATCGATTTCTATACATTGATATCGGAATTCGATTTTCATCGATTACTATCGATTGTCATAGATAATCAATTTATCGATTAACTACGCCTGGCAACAATCTACCCTCTCTGGGAAAGTATTTCGTAGACACCAGGGGGTCAAGGGGGACAAGTTTGCCCAGAGAACTGAAGTGCTTGAGGGAGATTTAATGGATGTGTGGCAACGCCGTATGCAGCGTATAATTAGGAATAAAATAACACTACCAACACACACAAAGGGTCATTAAGCAAGAATGCGTGAAAGTTCAGTTATTACATTTATTTCCTGTCACAGTGGACTCTGAAAAAAAAGATCAGAAACAGAACGCAAGAAAATACTTTCTCCAATGTCTGTAGTTCTCATGATGTGGGTTATGACCATGACAAGTTAACAACGAGGGAATTCTGTCACGCAACTTTGTAGCAGCGGCTATGTATGGCTTCTTTTTCATGACACACAGAAGGCTTGGTACCTTGAAAAGTGCTACACACCAGTCCTAGTAAATCGAACGTGGCCTTTTCCTGTATCTCCTCCGAGTGTTTGCCGTTCAGCGTTACCCATGGGACGTAATAATGAGGTGGATTCAGAGCGTTCGTCTTCAGCGCCATTTTATGTTCGAGGGCATTTCCCTGGGGACCACTTTGACACTTGTCGATTGCTGTAAAATCAATTCCTTGTTGGCTGGCACACTTCTCTGCTACAGAACGTGGGTCACCACTCTCGATATTTACCTCAACGCAGTGAATGAAAGGCATATAAGAGGTCACATTCTGCAGGATGGAAATAGCGCAGGTCTCGATCAAGTTTCCCACGCATTCTTGAGGACCGTGCTGGCAATTGAAGCGCCATTCACTTCCATCTTGAGTCTCTTCGGCATTGCCACCAACGTTATGTCCATGATTTGGCTAACCTTCTGGAATGTCGGATAAAGCTGGTCTCTGATGAAATCTCTGCATCCTCCACAATAGCTCTCATAATACAAAGCTATTTCTACTCTGGGAGCTGCTGCTGGAGCTGCGACAGTTAGCAACGGAACTGTGATGAACAGGGCAGCGCAGATGCGTAGCAAGACCATGATTCGTCAAGAGAGATTCGTTTAAATTTTCAGCAAAGGTGAGACATTCGAGAGGAGCGGACTTCAACCTTTATACTATCTTGAGTGCGCGTGCACGTTTTTCAGTCAAACCGCGTGATTATGTCATGACTCTTTGATGCATTGTTGTTGCGCCACGGTGATGCACCCCATGTAAATAATATATGCACATGTACTTGTTATTTATGATTGAGGTCTGTAAACGCAAAGAAATCTTGACCGGAGAAATCTTGACCGGATATGGTTGGTCAATAAAGAAGTGATTGTATGGGCTAGGCCTAGAAGCCTTTTTTTTGTTGTTGCTAAACGAAAGAGAGAAATCCCCCGCGGGCAAGATTATAGACCCATCTTGTCAACGTCTCGGACAGCCAATTAGAGCACACGATTTGCTTCGTCTTATAAACTCGTGATTTTGACATGACTTCCTTATTTGATGTCTAATTTATATGTCTGGTAATTTCTGCACCGGCAAATTTGCAGTAAGTTGAGATGATGTAATATGTATATCTGGTTTTCTTTGTCAAAGTTACCTTAGCATTCAAGTTAAACTTTACTTATCAGTTGACCGATTTACAGGAAGTTGAAGAGAATTTTTCATTTCCGTTGCTAAGGGACGGACCATTAGAAAACTTATGGGGGGGCGGGCGAAGTACACTATTTGGGCAAGGGAAAATTAAATGAAAAAAAAAATTCATGTACGCCAATTAATCCTAAAAATATTCATGTCATGGCCTAAAAAAATTCATACAAGGAATTTAATAACGAAAAAAAAAAAATTGACATTAGCAATGGTCCGTCCCTAAAAAACGACAACACAGTTGTGGTTCTGTTCAACATAGTCTTAGCTTAAAATGCAACAGTTGTGGTCGAACATAGTCTGCTTCACAGTCGTTTTTAGAGTCGTCACGCAGCGCTCCTCCATTAGAAACTACTAGACTAAGTCGAACACAGAGTTAATCTATTTTACGTCCTTCCTTGTGACACAGTTCTTTTTCAACAATAACTCTAAGGATTCTTCTAAAATTTTGATTTTCTCCTCCGTGCCACCCTAGTCGGTGGTGTAGACGTAAAGGAGATTAGATCATCTTAGATCATCTGAGATCATCTTAGGGTAGGGGATCATTTCGGGGTCGGAATCATTTCGGGGATTGTACAGATCTCTCAGGTGTCTGTGAGTTGTGTTGTTTGTTCCCTGGACTAGATCGAACGTAGGCGGCACAAATACCCCCGTGTGGTTAAAAAAAACATGGTCTTCTAATCCCAACAATAAATACGCGCAGAAGTTCTACTTTGCGCTTTAACCTATTTTCTTAAACATGTTCTTGCTTTCTGCTTGGTTACTTCCCCGATCCAATGTGATTATAGCGATGTAGGACTGACTCCGAAGTCGGGAATCTTTTTCAGTGTAGTGGTCTATAAAAACCCGCGATCAGGCAAATCATCACTCTCTATCATAAAACATGCATTTAATAAAAGGGAGCGATTTGAGAGGACGAGGTTTTGCGAGACGAGGACATCCCATAAAAAGAACGGCAGTCTGCACTGGCAACAGCAGTTTATTTTCAATTACAGTATAATGAGAACATTTCTCTAAACAGCAACAACAGCTTCGGACCGAGAAGTGCTCCTTGATTTTATGTACTATACGGCTTCGGACTTTCTAAATGATCTACAGCGAGAAAATGAAAGGAGAATTCACTAAATGTGTATGTGCTTCTCATTCTTGTAACAGCGACCAATCTGCTGTTGTTCGCACGCCGATGGCTTGGGTCCGGTGTAGTATTTGCAGACAAGCTTCAGCAAGTTATTCTCTGCCTCCCTCTGTAGCTTCTCGGTGTGTTTTCCGTTCAGGGTCACCCACGGAACGTACTGGTGTTGTGGTTTAAGTGCGTTCGTTTTTACTGCCATCTGATGCTCCAGACTGTTTCCCTGGGGACCGCTCACGCATGTCTCGATCGGAGAATAGTCAATTCCCAAGGATTTGGCGCATTTCTCAGCTATCTCAGCGGGTTGCGGATCCTCTGATTTCTCCGTGTTTTCCTCAAAACAGTGAATGAAAGGAAAAGACACGGAAATGTTTTTCAGCAGAGCAATAGCGCATGTTTCAATCAGGTTCCCTTGGCATTCCTTCGGTCCGTGTTGGCACTCGAAGACCCATTTGTCTCCTGATCGCCTTTCTTCTGCGTTTCCATACGGTACAAGCGTAAGATTGAATATCTCGCCGACCTTGAGGTAAGTTGGATAAAGCTGCTTCCGAATAAATAGCTGGCAGTCAGGACAAAGGCTTTCGAAGTACAAAGCCAGGGACACTTTGGGTGCCTCGGTTGGCCAACATGATACAAAACCAGACGAAACGCAGATGAGGCCCACCACCAAAACGCCAAACATGTTTGCCTGCCTTGGCACAGTGTACGTGTTTCTCTGGCCGATTGCAGCTTATAAACAAGAACCTTTTCAGGAAAGATTATGCAATCGTGTCATATTACGAAAACCACATGATCTTGTGTCACGAGTGTATAAAAATACATTGAAAAGGAAAACAAACAAAAACAAAACAAAGAACAAGCGAACAGAAAAAAACGGTGGCTTTATTTATACCTAACATAAGTGCTATTGTCTTTTTTCACTTCCCGCTCGTTAGCTTGCGTCGTAGACAGTATAAACTCGATCGAGCTGAAAAAGTAAATTCATTTAAAATTTACCTACTAGCCGGCCCTCGCAGTGGTTTAATCCGTTTATACAGTATCGGTTTTAATATAAAGTATTTGTCTTGGCATTTCCTGTCTTTTCTTGGCAGGGAGATCACGATGCAAAGGGTGAAATCCTGGGAGTGAAATGTATATTTGGTAATTCTGTCGTTACAAGTTAATAACATGATGGAAATCCTCAAACAAACAAAAAATGCTGAGTCAGAATCGCTAAATCTGATGCAAGTAAAACAATTTTTTCGCATAGTCATTGCGTTTTTGGAGTAGAGACATATTTCATCTCGCAAATCTATTTAATCGCTTACAATTAAGGGCCTGTTTACATGGAGGTGGGGGATCACCCCACCTATCATGTAAACGTGATCAAATTAAAATGAGAGATTTTGTGGACAGGCAGGTTACCCACCAAACATGACCAAAGCGGGTTACCTCACCTACCTGGAGTCCCCCACCTCCAAGTAAACAGGTCCTAAGACAGACACGCACTTTGACTCGCACGAAATAGACCCTTCCACGGTTTTTTTTTTTCAACTTGCGATATGCAGGTGTTAGCGAACATCGGTTGACATCACTAGCCAGCGCTTTAAAATTAGTGCGATGGCCAATTTTGAAAGTGTTTTGTTGACAACTACCGAAGATACAGCCGGAAGAAAAAACTCGTCACGTCGCAAAATTTTCCTGCGGTGGGAGAGTTGGGGGACGTTTGTAAATTTTCGCAGCTTTGGGTAGCTATATCTTCACTGGCTTAAGACGTATCGCTTTCAAATTTGTCAGTTTTACTAATTTTAAGGCGCTCTTTTCAGTGGTGTAGAAGGATTTTTTCTAACTGGACCATGTCAAAATTTTAAAAAAAACCGAATGGCCTATTACTGATATCCCTTATTCGGGACAAAGGGGACAAAAACCACATAAACCAACGGCACACCCCACAAAGGCCATACAAGGGAGTACCTGACACCCCCCTGGGCAGAATCCACCGTTTAGAAATAATGCCTCGTGCTGATCTTGTGATTGTGCTGAAGGTACGTTAGTGAGCAATTGCTGTCAAAGTTCAAGTAAAAAAAAAAGAAAAAACTGTGGAAAACTAAAACACTATAACCTAGTGTCATTGTCCACTGAATTTGTGGCAGGGAAAGTTACGATGTCATTCATGGGCTCCCAACGAGGGTTTCATCCCAAATACATTGAAAAGGCTTTTAGTACAGTGGAACCTCGAAATAAAATAAATAAATAAATAAATAAATAATAAATGTCTTTATTTTTCATAACATAAAAGCTACATATCATTTGTTACACTATTTTAAAAATATCGCAAGATAGTGGTTCGTTACATATATAAGATTTATCTATAAGGAAGTCTATTCAGAGATAAAAGCATTCTTAACAGTATTTTTGACGAAGGGTCAAGGGACTGGCAAATCTGTTCGTCCGTTTTGTTATATCGAGGGTTTTTTTACGGTATATTTTACTATTACTCATCTGGGGTAAAGAAAATCGTTCGTTATACCGAGTACTTCCGTTATATTTGTACAATACAAAGGTTCCTGCAGAAGAGGTGCATTCTGAGCGGCATTAGTAAACGGAATAACATTTTTGTCTGTTTGGTCATCGGAACCTTGCAGCAGTTTTACCTTATTGTATTTTTCTAAATCTAGCCTACTTATTTTCTGCCCAGTTATATTACAATCGCCAGGATCTTCTCTTGACGGACACTGAAGGAGGATATAACTATCTTCCCTTCATACAATGCGATCACTTTCATTCCCGGGCGGGGAGTCCTATCTACCAGACGCGTACGACCGGTGAAACCTCGTTGCTACGTAACATCTTACGTACGAAAATCCTTCCCGTAGGCAACCAGTCTTACTGCTCAGTCTGGGACATTTCCCACAGGTTGCAATGGAGCGGGGTATAAAGTAGTAAAAGCTTCAAAAGCTGTATAGAAGATCTGTAACTTTGTTTTTGTTGTTGTTGTTGTTGTTCTAAGGCAATGTACGAAAATGTCTGTTATAAACTCCTTCGTTTTCTTCTTTCCGTTCTTGGTCTCTGTTGAATGAAATTGTGTAAGAACGTTCACTGCAGCGGCCTCTCGGCATGAAGTTAATGCCCCGCATTTTTGACCACCCAGTGATGATCTTAACAAGTTCCTTACGTATGTCCTTTTTATGCAGAGCATACACTATAGGATCAATCATTGAGTGACCCTTGAGGAGAAGTCGCGAAACGTGGACAGCGGTTGCAGGAACTGAACAGACGCGGAATACAGAGCATATCTCTCTCCATGATGCCATTGTCCAGCAAACAACAAACAAAGGTACCACAACACAAAAAACTCTTATGGTTGATTTTGCGTGCCATTTCGCTTGATTGGTTGAACTTCTTTCTCTTCCTATGCTCTTATTGATGGAACTTATATGACGTGCATGTCTTTTGCTAATCTGGAAGATATGCATGTAGGCCAGAAACATGATAAAACATGGTAGCAACTCGAATATACCTAGTTTAATTGCCACAAGCACTTTTGCTGCTTCCTCCTTCTGGTTTTCCGATATAGGTAGAACGTTTACGACGTAAGGAGCAATGCACGCAAACAGTGGCAAGAGCCAGGCTGTAATTAATAACTTGATCGTTGATCTCCTAGAAACAAGCAGCGTATATCTCAACGGAAAAACTACGGCAATGTATCTGTCCATGGTCAAAAAGCAGAGATTGGTGACCGAAACGTAAAGAAACAAGTCGTACACTTTCTTATTCACACTCCAATTGCAGGGAATGGAGGAAAAATAACAAATGAATAGCGAGGGAATCATTATTATTCCAACTGTTAAATCTGACAACGCTAATGATAGCAGGAGCCAGTTTGTAGGGTTTCGAAACAATCGATCACGTTTTAGAACAATAAAGATGACCAGTCCGTTGCATACCAAAGTAATAACTCCATTGACAGCGCTTATGACCCAGAAATACGTGGGGACAGGACCCCAGAAAAACTCAAGTTTCTTGGCCTCAATGTTGCTGCTTTCGATATTTCCTGCCATTTTACCGTTGAACGTGAGTTCAGTTGCACTTGAAATAGCGAGTTCCTGTAAGAAAAGGAAAAGCAACAGTTACAGTTGTACACTCAGTAAGAATACTTCATGGAAAGTGCGCGCGTAAGGTAAGTTGTTGACGTATTAGAAATCGAACGAGTGAGCGGAGATTTCTGATATAAAAATAAGGAATGCGTCAAGACCATACAAGCACTGTACAAGACACTTTCCAAGCGATATTGTGTTTATTGTATACACATAGATCGATACAGAGACATTCATAATTCTGCTAGCCTTTTCTACTAAGCCTTTTCAAGCCTTCTTGCCGCTGCACATGATGAAATGACATGAAAGAACTGACAGGACGGACAGCGACGTCGCCGTTAGAGGAGTACAGTGGAACCCCGTTAATACGGTCACCAATGGGCCAGAAAATTTTGACCGTAATAACGAGACGGTATTAACGAGGGTTTCTTTACAGGAAAATGTATGGTCGTTTTTGCCGGGCGGCCTAAAACAACAAGTGGCCGTAATAACGAGGTCCACTGTATTGGTAAGAACCTGACGTAGTTAATCAAGAAAAATCGATAACATTGACATTAATTGATTTAGTCCGCAGATAAGTATCGATTGATATCTGGAATCGATAGAAATCGAACTCACAGAAGAAATAGTTTATCGACTATCATCGATTGACAAAATTGTTAACAATCGATATGAATCGATAGTAATTGATAACAATCGATAAAAAATCATTGTCGATTTCTATCGGAAATCGATATTTCTAAAATCGGACACCATTTTTTTCTTTATCGATTTCTATCGATTATCTGTTTATCGATTAACTACGTCTGGGTAAAAATTAAAATGAGGGTAAGGATTACAAGTAATCTTAACGTTTTTTCTCTTTTTCGGTCTTTTTCTTCTTTTTGAAGCCAAACTAAGGCCTTTTCCGATCGACCGACAGACGACGAGGAAACTGAATAAGCAACACAGACGTGTTTTGAGAAATGAGGTTATCTTTCACCTAACAGTAAGATGTTGGTAAGTAGTACTAGAGAGGAGTGTTAAACGTTCTAAACTAAACTTTAAAGTTTGTAATTAATTACGCTTGGCAAGTATAAACTTTCGATCCACCTAATTCGTTTTATCCCATTCAACGAAAGCTACCTGAAACTAAATTCGACTCAAACCACTGTTCAAACGAAACTTTGAGCCAAACCGATTGTCAGCACTCCAAAACAAAAAAAGCAGAAAAGGCAAAAAGCCACACAGTAGTAAATTAAAAATTTGATCAAGGTCACATCCACTTAATTTTTTTACGCACAACATTTCTCTGACCAACCTAACACTCCCCACTGTACGCGTTCCTCTAAAACGCAACACTTTCAACGAGATCAGCCTTCTTTTCTCTGTAGATTCATTTCATTTATAGATTACACATCGCTTGACATCTAGCTGGTGTCAAAGCTGAGTGTGTCGCTGTTAAGTGCCATGCACAGGTGACAGCGAATTTTTAATTAAGTGTAGTGAATAGGAGCTGTCGTTTTTGTTGTCACACTTTTATGACAAGAACTACTTCAGTAAAAAGCATTTTGACGCATGTTCTCTGACGCAGAGCAGTTCAACTTTCAAAATCAGCATATTTCATCAGGAGTAAAATTACTTTTGTCACGTGTAATAAAAATCTTATTCAAGAAGGGAAGCATGAATTATTTCATTCTCAACCCGTCAGGAGTTTCCCCGAGATGTAGTTAGCGACTTTTGTCTTACGGTGACAGTTATTTTAGTTCTCAAAGGATTTTCAGGTTAATTTGTACTTTTAGCATCAGATATCGCCAAAATGACTTCCACTGTAAAAGCGGTGCATATAACGTTGGTCAGTGGGTGCGAAAATGATACCGTCCGCCGATTTCCAAAATTATTGTGTAATATTGGTGCATTATTAGACTTGAAAATTAGACATTTTTTGCTGTAATTCCCATTAATCGTCCTAAATTGTGCCGACACTGAATCACTAAATAAAAAAAGTACTCCAAGTCAAACGTATACTGTATTTAATGATCATCGGGGCGAGTTGTACCGACTCAAAGGCGCGGTGTAAGACAGGCTGAGGAAAAGTGTTGGTAAAATATGGATTTACCAAGAATTGTCACTTCAGTTTTAAATACGACCCCTCCCCCTCATTCCGATGAGTCTCTCTCCCTCAAAGCTCTTAGAAAAACAGCCTTGGAGAGGATGGGTGGGGTGCGGTAGGCGTTTTCGCCTGATAAGCAAAAACGTCCAAGATTAGGAGTACGTTAGTAAATGAAAAGGCGTGTGACCACGAAATATTTTCTGTTACATTTGTATGGACGCCAGTCGCCAATGGTTGTCAAAGGACTTGAAACGCAGAGCCATCACAAGTACTAGCATAAAAAGCTGCTGAATATAAAGTTGGGAATCGAACGGTAGAGCAACGCATTTTAACATGAGATTACTGTTGAAACGTCAGAAATGCTATACAGCTTAGTCACATTGGAAGGTAAACTACATGATGGCTTATATTTAAAACTTACAAAAGTAAGGTGGGCCTCTAAACTGTCGCCCTCGACGCGGCTCTT